CTCTACATCTTCATAATATATCAACGCTAGAGTTTTCAGATTGCACCACCCAAATTTGTCGCTGATACGATAAAATTTGTGGGAGGAGTTTGTTACAGTGTAAAACATGTCATTTCCTGTTGCCAGCAGGTGGCCCTATAACTGTAATTGGATATTGGCATGTAAAGGTGTTTAGGTAAGGACTCTTATCAAATGTGTGGATTTTGAGGCAGATCAGACAATGCATGCCTGAGTTATAACAACTTCCTGTTTCGTCCCAAAACACAAAGTTTGTGAGGCTGCCACAGACACGCCCTTCGACGAAACCGTATCTTCGTAATTTAACATCACCAAGGCCAGCAGTAACTAAATTGTAAATAAAAAAGCAGTTTCCTCTCTCTCCGGGCGCACAAATCCAAGTCTTGCAACTCTGGGATACTCCACCTTTCAGCTTGCAAGAGGACGGTTTCCTTCCTCCCACTCCTCCAGCCTCATCGCAGGATCCAGGTAGGAAGATAAGAGACAATCTCTTATTTTCAGCTCTTCCCCGAGATGCTCCGCTTTCCAGGGTGAGCAATTCCCTCCCAAGCTGCCCCTCCGCTGGCACGTCAGAGATCGTCCTGATGACACCATTGAGGGTATGGTTTGCATCTATGGAACTGAAGGACACATACTTTCATGTCTCCATCCCTCTACATCCTTTTCTCTGGTTTGTATTCGAAGGTCGAGCATAGCAGTACAAAGTCCTTCCCTTTGGGCTTTCCTTATCTCCGTGGGTTTTAACCAAGCTCGCGGAGGGTGCTCTAGCACCTCCTTGGCTCATGGGCATACGCATACTTAATTATCTCGACGACTGGCTTATACTGGCTTCATCCTCTGATCAATTGATTATGCACAGGGAGATGGTGCGCCGCCTCCTCGACCATTTGGGGCTTTGGGTCAATTGAGAGTGGAGCAAGCTCTCCCCTGTGCAGAGCGTCTCCTATCTCGCGATAAAGTTGAACTCAATCTCTATGACAGCGCGCCTTACAGAAGAGCCTACTCTTCTGAAGAGCCTACTTAGTGGGTCTACTTGCACAGACCCTGTGCAGGTTAGGGAAGATGAGGAGAAGGTCTTGTTAGCTGCGCCTCTGTGGCCAAACTGGACCTGGGATTCCAAACTCACACTCCTCGCGACGGCCCCTCCCTGTCGTATTCCCCTGAGAAAAGACCTCTTGTCAGAGGGGCATACACCAGGGAGGGGCCGTCGCGAGGAGTGTGAATTCAGAAACCCAGGTACTGTTGTGCCAAAGAGGTGAGCCCTTCTTTCTTAGGGATAAGGCACCCATGCCCAGATCTCTGGAACCTACATCTGAACCTGCTCTTCAGATATCTGGACTCCTTTTGATCTGCTGAAATATAGATATGCATGTATATACCAACAGATACAAAAACATTCAAAATAACAGTCAAATATAACTTATTTTGTATAAATACTTGTTTCAGAGGCATAGCCATCCAAACATTAGTGTAAATGAGGTTGCTTTGTGAACTGTTCAGCATTCCTCAGACTTTAGATACAAGCAGAACCATGCTGCTTACAACATCAAATGTAGAGTCACAAGCTACAGAGACCTGTTGCATAAAGCCAGTTTCTAAAACTCACGAGTTTGTTCAGCTAGCATCATACAACAAGACCTGTGTGTCGTGTCATGTCATGATGCATCTGTTCTATTGTGGTGTTCATGCTATCATGTGTCTTATTTTGTAAACTAATATAGCTTTGGGTCCTGTTTGGTAATCTTTGATATCCTCTGTTGCACTAATACATGTGTTGTATTATTTATGCTTGAGATTAGGTTTATGTGTTCCCTTTTCTCAGTTTTACTTCCTGTCTACCAGTTGATCAAAGGCATGTTGAATGTTGCTCACTGAACAAATTCTGAGTTTCAAAATGGATTTCGAGTTCAGATAAACAAAAAAAAAAATAAAGCTCATTCAACTTCAGATCAAGTTTTGCAGAAGTCACAACACTCAAAATGAATGTTTGAGAGAATTAGATTAATTCACGTCAGGCAAGAGAACTGGTGCAATTCACTTCTCTGTTTAGCATTTCATAAGCAAAACTTAGAGAAGGCAGATAAAATAATGTTAAACTCATTCAAAAAAATAAATCAACTGGATCTAATCATTTTAGAGGTCCACAAAAGAAAAGCATAAGCTTTGTACTTTAAGCTTTTTATGGGTTAATTATTAAATCAGTTTTAATGTAAATTCTCATTTTAATTAACAATCCATGTAGCAGCCACATAAGTGGCATGAATTGTAAATTATTATAATTTGGATAACAAAGACGTATCAGCAAAGGATGGGCAATGTTGTTGCTATATCTTTGACAGGAAAAATTTTTAATTGCATCAATGTATGTCACTTTGCTTATGACTTAAGTTTTCAATCTATAAACCTGAATAACACTTGCTCTGGAGCAGGTTAGCCATGTAACCCAAGTTGCCAAGTTGCAGTGATAAACATAAGTAGATAAATTTGCTTTGCATTTTCTCAAACTATTCTCAAACCTGGGTAGAAACGGACACCTGTTTCATTTTCTAGACTGTTGCTTTTGTTTGCTGTTGTCCATCAGTTTCTTGTATATTTAACCATTTGGTACAAACGGTAACCTAATCCTAAACCTTCATCCACTGATAAAGCTAACCATTTAGTCTAAATCTTAACCGTATCTAACCTCTACAGCAGCAAAAGTGATTTGCAATTAAACCACTATAATGATGTAAAAACAAATTGTGTACCTATTGTCTTCATGCGGACAGCAAATAAATCAGATGTAACCCTAGAATCCAGATAGAGTCACAAAACAATTTGCTTGGTATCCAAACAAAATCTAGAGGAAACTCAGTAAAGAACTTGTTAAAAGTGTTAGTTCAACAATAAACCTTGTCGGGAACCTTGCTGTCTATGGAGGATAAGTGAGCTTATTTCAATTAAAATATCTTAAAATATTTTCAATTAAAATATATTTATATATCTTGTAATCTAAAGATAAATAAATGTCCCTCAGGGGGTTTTGGAATGACATGAGGATGAGTAATTAACAACACAATTTTCATGTTAAGTTAAAGGTTTTCTGTGGAACCACAGATTAAAAAAAAAAGTTTGATAGATTTTTTAATAATAAATATTCTTGCACCTGCAAGTTATGGACACACAAACACACACCAAACATATGCGCAGCAGGCACTGAAATCAGCATACAGTAGTCTAATGCAGTGGCGCTATCCACCACATTCTGAATTTATTTTACACACTTTGTTATAAATGAGTGACAGCATTCTGGATTTGGGCTTTCACTTGTACTGTAAAAATTTGGGATGGAAATTTCAGATTCATTGTACAATGACCTTAACACTTGTTATCTGTTTTCTTTTACTTATAGGCACGCCATCACCACTGGCTCAGTGTGTGAAGTATATGGTATGTGGAATATATATATATGCTTGCTAATAAATGAATCAGAATGTTGCATATTCATTTTGATCTGCTAATCTTCATGTTGTAGTTATCATAACACGAATATTTGACAATCTATACATGTTGTTTTACTTTTGTGTGCATATTTGTACATGTCTGTGCCTGTCTGTCTGTTCACACCAGAGAAGTTGTGTGGTACTGTTGTTATTAAGCAGACTTTGTTTTCTTGGAGGCTCTTCTCTGCTCATGATCATCAAACCAGTTTCAAAGATGGTAAGTGTGTCCAACAACACACTATGCGCAATGACTATTTCTAAACTATTGTGTTTTCATTATAAGTAATAATCAGCAACCTTTAGGTGGTCACAAACCTTTATGAGGTTATTTTTTTCTGTTAAACACAAAAGGAGATTTTTTGAAAAATGTTAGAAACTGGTAACTATTGACCTCCATAGCAGGAAAACAAACACTATGGAAGTTAATGGTCACCAGTTTTCAGACGTCTTTTGTGTTCAGCAGAAAAAAATAAACTCAAACTGGTTTGTGACAAGTGAAGAGTGAGTAAATGATGACAGAATGTTCAGTTTAGGGTAAACTATGCCTTCATAATTAATTGAATTCATAATGTAAATAACAAATATATACATTGTGTGTCTCCTCACAGCCCACCAAGATTGCATCTATCATTGAAGTAGCATTAAAATTTGTTGCTACTGTCCTTGTACTAATAAAAGCAGTTCATGTAAGGATTTTTTTCAGTTTACTATCTTTCTTCAAAATGAATATGTGGTTGAGTGGAAAGCAGAAGCAAAGGAGGAAATTGAAATCTAATTTGATCCTCTTTGTTGTGTCTGTAAATGTTTGTGACAGCATGAATGTAAGGATGCTGGTTTGCAGACTGAGTTTGCTGCTTTGATAGTGACTGCAATGGTTACAGGCCTGATGCACACCATCATAGTTTTCTTTTACCGCGGACCAAGTGATGAATTGTGAGTGTTAACTTTACATATCAGCACTAATATAATGTGAACATACCATAATGACAACTGTTTCCAAACAGGTTTTTTTCTGCTTTTTTCACCAGACTGAAGTTTACTCATCATTGATTAAAGCAAATTTGTAATGCATTTTTACTGTTCTGGCTCTGTGACTAATAGGGCCAGAATTACAAAATAGGACAAATCCAAAAGACCAAAATCCTATAAAATTGCAGATGAGATTGTTCTGCAAGTGAACTGAAGACAAGTTTAAATGGAAGAACGACTTTTTCAGTTAATGCCTCAAATCCTGACAGTAGCTTTTTTAACATTAAGTGTGGTTTATTCATAAACTAAATTCGAGATTATCACGTGCTTATGATCAACACGGCTGGCTCCTTATTAGCTCTGTAATCTGCCCTATTAGATGATTACAGAAGCATTATAAATAATCTGAGTTTTTCACTCCAGTTATCTTCGCCTTGAAGCTCCCCCCCTTTCCACCCCTACATCCTCCCCCTTTTTCTGATAGGGCGACACGGTGGCCCAGTGTCTAGCACTGTTGCCTCACCACAAGAATACCGCTGGTCCAACCTATCGGGCCGGTTGGTGTTTCTGTGCGGAGTTTGCATGTTCTCCCCGTGTTCGCGTGGGTTTCCCCCAGGTTCCCTGGTTTCCTCCCACCGTCCAAAAACATAAACCATAGCCAATCCAGTAAAACAAATTATCACCCTATGCAACCTTAGTTTACACTTCTCACTGCGACAAGCAGGGGAGTTCTCGAGACCTACCTGACCTCAAACTCCCCGCTCGCCCTTATAACAGGAGGGAGCCCCAGGCTCGACGATATTACGAGCTGAGGGCTCTCTCCCGGGACAGCATGCCAAATACGTTTTGATTATCAGCTAAGTGTGAACTCTTTTGTCGACAAGTTGTTAGTAAATCTGACCCATAGTCTCATTCATACAGTAATCTCAAGCATTTAGTAAGAACAAGAGAATTTCTAAATATAGGGACTGTAGTATCCGTACATCGATACTCATGAGACATTTGTTTGGTATAGACATTTAAAAATATATATTGATATTAAAATTATATTAATACAAAAGGTGTTTCTAAAGCTTGATGTTCTAAACAATAGGTAAATAATCTCTAAAATACCATTTTCAAGAGTTCACACTTAGCTGATGATTGATTATAAGCAAGTTTGGCATGCTGTCCCGGGAGAGAGCCCTGAGCTCGAAGGTTCTTGAGCCCTGGGCTCCCTCCGGTTTGGAGGAAGAGAGGGGAGCCTTGAGCTCAGGTAGATCGGCCTGTTAAAGGACTAGAACCGGTGACGTTCTTGCTGTGAGGCGACAGTGCTAGTCACTGGGCCACCGTGCTGCCCTATGGAGGAAGAGGTGAAAAGGTAGGGGTGGAAGGGGGGATTCTTCAAATCGAAGATGACTGTAATGGAAAAACCCTGGCTCTTTATAGTGGGTTAGGAATGGCCTGATTGGTGGATCATGCATATGATGTATGAACCAGCCGTGTTCAATCATAATCACGTGCTCCTCTCGAAATTAGTTTATGAATAAACTTAACTTAGAATAGTCCTTTAAATAAAATTATTGTTTTTTTTTCTAAAAATGAACATTATTATGTAAAAACACACAAGAATGGCATTACATATGCATTTAAGAAATTGTTAAGAAATGAATGTCCTTTAAAGTAAAGGTTCAGACTCTGTTAAGATCTGTTTTGAATAGACAAAAACACATCTTGACACATAATGACATACCATAGTTTCTCTACAGTCTGTGGTTTGAAAGAATTTAAACTCTTGCATATAAAAACTGCGGTATTTTGAATTTAATGTTAAAAAATCTTTATCTTACAGAAGAACGTGTTGGATTGGTTCTCTCATAACAGTTGACCTACTAAATACAATCATTACATGTAAGTTTTTTCCACATAATCACCCTTTCATTTGTTTGTTATTTCATGACAAATGTTAATCAAGTGACCTAATTTTCTAAAATTAACATAGGTGTAAAACCTCTTCAAAGCTCAGGTTAAACTAATTATGTTTTTTATAATCTTCTTTTTTCTAACTGTAGCCGTCTCAATATTTTATGGGTTATGGTGGTTTCAAGAGCACTGGATGCCAATATTAATGGGAGTTTATGTTTTTTTGGAGTTCATCCTTTACCTGGGAGCAGTTTGCTTTCAGCAGATGGAAAAACGCAAGGCAGAAAGAAGTAAGTATACTTATATACTTCAACTTGCTTGAGGCATGTATGAAATTCAGACGCAAACAAAGACTTTTTAGATTGTCATTCTGTTGTCTGTCTGTTTTGAAAAAAATATTAGATTGACTCATTATATTGTATTTGTGTTTTACAGAAAATATTACTGCTCTGAAACACAGGGTATGTGAACTTTACATCTGTCTCACTTATTTTTATACATATAGTCATTCCAGTTTCAGTCAATCTGCTTAAAGGGATAGTCCCCCCCCAAAAATGGTGTTCATTTACTCTCCCTCAAGCTGTGCTATTTTTTCCTTCAGTAGAACATCAGTTCATATTTTTAGCAGAAACCTTTTATAAAAGATAAGGCCTCAATTCCACTGAGTGGCACGGTTTATTACAGATATACGGTTTGGTACTGGTCACCCTAATCTGGCATGCATTACTTTCCACGACCAACAGTACTATTATTTCGTAGGCGTGATCGCAGTGTACAACAGAATGTAGAGATTGACGTCATTCTTTCTTACAAATCTATGGCGCACTTATTCATTCATTCCTTCGTCTTAGTCCCTTTTTATCAGGGGTGGCCACAGCGGAATGAACCGCCAACTATTCTGGTTTAGTTTTACGCAGCAGATGTCCTTCCAGCCCAGTACTGAGAAACATCCATACACTCTCACATTCTCACACACTCATACAGTACAGCCAATATTGTTTACCCAATTCACCTGTAGCGCATGTCTTTAGACTGTGGGGGAAATCTGAACACCCTGGAGGAACCCCACGCGAACATGGGGAGAACATGCAAACTCCACACAGAAATGCCAACTGGCCCAGCCGGAACTCAAACCGGTAACCTTCTTGCTGTGAGGCAACAGTGCCAACCACTTAACTCATGCAAATAGAAAGAGGATGTGGCACACCTCATGGTTTCCACATGTTTAGCATGACATGTAAAAGTCGCCACAAACAGCAACAGCAGATTCTGTTCTTGCTTCTAGGCATGTGGCTTTTTATCACAAGATGCCAAGCTTGCTTCAAGCTTTGTTTCATGATTGTTCTACTTTAGTGTCATGTCTTGGTTGTGTATTACAGTGTTGTTGTTCCTCTGACTTTTTACACGCATAAGAGACGATTTTCTGTAAACCAACAGCGCTCAGCAGCGAGTCTTTTGGTGCTGACTGTTGTGCTGGGTACACTTACGAGTACTATTTTAGTGCTTCTGACAATCCAAATGGACACAATGGAAATTGGACACAAAGTGTACTGTGCTGTACTGAACCTTACCGCTCAGTAAAAATGAGTCATAAGTAGGCCCACACAAAATCTGCGCGCGCAGAATTCCGCAGATTTTCCGCAGTTTTTTAGCCCATTATAAATTCTGCTTATTTAGTTGAGTAAATGTGTAAATTGGAATTTATTCCGTTTTTATTCAGTAATTTATTACTTTTTATTTAATATATTAAAGTGTAAGTTATGATACTCCGCTGGATACTCCCAAAATAATTCCGCAGAAATCCGCTGATTTTTACCAAAATTCTCTGCAAAAATAGCAAAAAACGTCCGCAGATTCCGTCTGGCCCATAAGTGAATTGACAATAAATTGAGGCAATAAAATGTATAAAAACAAATAAGGCAAAACAGAATTAATACAATGACTGCTGGCGATATGTTTGAAAGCATTTATTGTTCTGTGTTAAAAACTAAAGTATTCATTCACACTTCAGAATGTTGAGATAAATGCTTTAAATGCTACACCTTATATCATTCTTCTTTTTTATCCGCAGAAACTCTCATGGAGGTTCATGTTTGTCATTTGCTTAGTGTTTTATATCATGATTACAGTTGCACTTATTGCCGGAGTGTCTTCACATGTAATGTAGAACTGTCAAAAGAACTTCTGCAAGATTCTTTGCTTGGCAGATGTTTGCAGAACAGTTTCAAGATTTTAGTGTGTTTCTACCAGGGTTCCCACGGGTGATGGGATTTGTGGAATGTCATGGAATATGAGGCATATTCCAGACATTAGCAGTCAGGGAATTTTATATATATTTTTGTCATGGAATATCAGGGATATTTGCTTGCATTTGAAATCTTACCTTTTATCAAACTGTTCTATCACATTGTTTTACTTGTTTTGACTACTGTTATGGTTAGGCTATTTTTTTTATATCTTTTCCAAATTGTCGACTGGCATTCCAATGCCGTCATAAGAGTGTACCTGTTAAAACACTGTCTGTGGCTCTTTATGTCTGCTCAGTGCTCAACCAGTCCCGACTAGATTTTGCATGATTAGATTAGATTTAGATTAGCGCTTCCTAAAATTATTTTGTATTATTGTATTATTTCTTGTGTTGTTTAACTGTTAAAACTATACAAATTTCGTATTAAATACTTAGTTTTTCACTACTTTGTTTACCTCAAGAACCACTGTTCTCTTTATTTATAAAAAGCATACACTAAGAGATGCAAAAAGAGAAAATGTTTACCTCTTAACTTATAGAATGAAAATAAACAGTGCTTTAAAGTATCTTCAACAAGAGCATATTAACGTTTAAAATTTTAGCAAATGATTCAATGAACATAGACTTGGTCAAATATGCTTGAGCTAAATGTGGATTGCAATAATGTCACACAATAATGTCAGGAAAAAGTGCAGCGCTGCACAATGCATTTGACAATGTAAGTATGATGTTATATAGGATAAAACAATCTAGATGGTGCGAAAGGATTTTAAACAGCGTCCTGGCTGCTTAAAAATGGTAATCAAGTTGCAATCTCCTCTACATTTTGCACTATTTGCTTGATTTTGTTATATTCAGGGATCGTGGAATCACACAATTATGGAGGTACTGCCCAACACATCAGCCACCGATTTTTATTATAGGTCATGGAAATAAAGCTTTTTAGGGAATTTGACATGCGGCTTAGAGTTGGAACCCTGTACTACATTAGTGTGTATTTAACTTTATAAGGACCTGCCTAGCCTTTGCACATGATCCAGTTTAATGCCCAATATTGTTTTGTTTACAATTATCTGTTAAATCATGCATAGATGTTTATGTTATTATCATTTTTGCGACCTGACTAAAGGAGTACTTTGATAAACCTTTTTAAAGATTTTTAAAATACATCCTGAAATAAAAAAACTACCTAATAAAAAGTGATGATGTTTTTGAATGTTGCTGTCGTAAAAAAGGTCATGTAATGTTATGGGTTCTATTGGGTTTAAAGTGTCAACACGTCTGCAGCTCTCAAATGAAGTGCAGACATTTAAATACAAAACAATGTGTGTTAAATAAAGACCTGCCAATAAAAATTACATTTGGTTTCTGAGATTGTCTTGCAGTGCTTTTACACTAAAATATAAAACTAAAACAATGATGAACTAATACAACACAAAATAAACAAAGGATATTTTGCATGACACTTCCTCGTGTGTCAATCAGTCCATCAACAGAACACTGATATTTCATGCTGGAATAAACAATTCTAACTTCCTGGTGTGACTATCAACTGTTCACTTCTCCGCCCACTTTTCCCAGCCCTTTGCTGTGCAATTCATGCTTAGCAAAATAAAGCGCAAAGCTAAGTTGATTTGGTTATTCACACATTTAAAACTAATTTAAACTTTTCAAACAAAATAACTATAATTTCCACTCAAATGACCATATTCATACTACACAGATCTACAGCAAGCACACACATCTGCTTTTATCCCTAAACTAGCTTTTTAAAATGAGTGTGCCAGAAGCAATTTTCTCATTAATTACAAAAAGAAAGACTTCATTCAAGAGTTATGAGCCAACCCAACCAGATTTGCGGTGAGTCACAGGATTGAAAGCTGATTTGAATATACAAGTATATGAAAATCTGACAAAACACAATCATACAAGACTGTACTTTACAGCTTTAATAAGACAGTTTCATGAAAACTGATTGCAACACAATTGAGTTAAAAAGAACAAATATTAAGAGAAATTGTTCATGTGTTTTTTTATAATTTCACAACTGGTAACACTTTATTTTGTTGGTCCATTTGAGTATTACTAGACTGTCTGCTTAATATCTGTTGATACTGCTCCTGCAACAGACATTTAACTGACTATAAGTAACTTTGCTAGTACATGTCAGCCTTAACAGTAACCCTATCCCTAAGTCAGTCTACTTATAATCTAATGAGAATTAGTTGGCATGTCGATGCAATGTAACCTAAATTCAACAAACAGACCATCAAAATAAAGTGTGTCATCACATATTTAACAATATTAAATCTAATTAATTCTTAATTTCTTATTTTTTTGTTGTTTGTTTTTGTAATTGCATTATGGGATGTATGATGAGAACAAATTTGTTACACCTTATGGAAGCCTCTCAAACTCAAATTAAATCATGTTATACTTTTTTGGTATTTTAAATATTTATTAGTATTTTATAGCAAATTTGGGGACCCAAAACAATGAAGAAAGGCCTCATTTATAGGTCCTTTAGGTCTAAAGCTATCAGAAACAGATTGTTTTTTTCCCTTTTTAATATTGTATTTATTTAGAAAATTTGACAAAGTACATTTTCCATTTGCACAAAGTACACACAACAAACAACAATCAAGCACTTTACACTATCTGCCTCTGAATCTTATTCCTGCACCACACTTATTACTTACCCGCAGGATTTCATAACATTTCCATGGAACAGAAACTGAAAGGCCTGTATTTACAGGGCCCTACCCATTTTTTTTTCCAGTATATGGGCCTTACCCAATCTCTGTGCGAGTTGACTTATGTTTGATTTGTTTTTAACTATTAAATGTATGTTAAAACCTTTTGTAAAAGTTTTGTTTTGACGTGCAGCACATGAAGTCGTTCAGGTCCTCAATAAGCGCTGTAAGCTGTAGAGCCAAAGTCTCAGTAATATAGCTTACTGTTCACTAAAACTGAAATTCCAAGGCGTAACACAATAAACTCCCCACAATTTTTCCCCGTGGAAACATTATTAGGATTCCCACGATTAAACATAAATGCTTAAAGGCATATAAAACTATCGTTTACATAATTTTTAACATATAGATATGCTACATAATGTTAAACCTTTTTCTTAAAAAAAAAAAAATTCAACAAATGCTGATTAAACAAACCACGCCTCAATACATTGATCAGTCAAATGCATTAGTCAATAAACTACAAACTTTTTGAGGGGATAAATTATAACTTGTACCTGTTTATTGTTTACGCTTTTCCCAAAACTGGACCAGCGGTTGATGGTGTACTCGCGTGCGCCATCTTGCGGCAAGAGGCGGGAATTCATTCGCCCATGAACCGCACGGTGCATTCTGAATATTGGTTATTTCTCTTCTTAACAAATAGCCTACAATTAAAATTTATATCTACCATGTTAGACATTTTTAACGAAAATGTAAGAATAATTTATTTTGGGACCCGGTTTACTCTCTGGAGTAAAGCATTTTATTTAAAATGTGATTTAGCTTTTTTTTTGCTGTAGGAATAACATTCTCTGTAGGTTTTACAGGTTCGTTTTGCAATAACAAATGTAAGTAACACACTAAAAGCATGACAAAAAAACTCATAACAACAAATGGATTTTTAATTATAATTTGAGTCACACAAATAAAAAAAAAACTGAAGCCAAACTAAAAAAATAAATCAGTGCAAACTTCAGTCTTTATGACTCTTGACCTTTAAGAAATTGTACAACTAATTCAAAATCTGGTTTATATTGTATGCCAAATGCTGTTGCATTATTATTATATGATTACATATATCACTCACACACACATATAAAGAAAAACTATTTATATAAAACATTTATAAACAAATACATTTTTTAAAAAACCTCTTTGGAATAAAGTTCCTTCTGTACATTTATGTGGTCCGCACATCCATTAACTACAGTATTAGAACCACACCATTTTCAAAAAAAGGCTAGACCTCACAGCCCTCCTGTTCAATGTTCCCCTCTGCAGCCACCGGCAGGACGAGGTGAGAAATCCTGCTCCACAGTCCACTCAGTTTATCCAAATCCATTTGATTAAACTTAGTAGATTTTTCTGAGGTAATAAACTTCTGTTTCACATGGTCGAGCACCATTTCCTCCACTTGGCTCAAACTGACCGACGGGTCTATTTCATCCACCGAAAGCTTCACAGTGAACACCAGGAAAACGTTTTTGTAAGCTGCAGTCTCATGGTCACAATACCGATAGAATATGAGAGTAGATCCAGGCGGGAGCTCCTCAAAATTGTGCACAACAGCAGCGGGTTTATCTCCTTCAAAGGCTTTTTTCAGTGCTTCATCAATCTCCAGCTTGACCTGATCACTGTCCAGAGCGCTTTTGGAGTTCCCGTTGATTTCTAAGATCGAAGCGTTATGGAAAGCAGAGAACATTGTGGCCAAGCGTCGAGCAAGACAACCTAATGTCCTTTCAGCGCGAAGGCCAGCAGTCAGAATCACACTGACCGGTTCAGTGGGTTTGACCGTCTGCAGGTGACTCTTCAGATGTTTCCCACTCCTCTTCCAGAACTCAGAACGCTGACTGGGAAAAACAGTCTGTAGACCTGCTAAGTCCACTGCAAAATTCTTCAGTGTTTCAGAATGAACCACATCAGTTTGAGGCAAATGGGCACTAATAAACTTATGATAGATCAAATAGCCGGAAACCAGCAGTCCAGTCAATATCAAAACAAGTATGAGAACTCTGCAAATAGACCACATCCATCCTAGAAAAACAAGACATTCTGAATTAACGACACGCAGTGCATGCCAAATAAATCTGTTTGTTAAAAGGGTCATGAAATGCAGTTTGTACAATTTTAATTTAGTTTTGTAAAAATCATTCAGGTGAGACATGATGGCTCAGTGGTTAGCACTGTCACCTCACAGCAAGAAGGTCACTGGTTCGAGTCTCGGATGAATCAGTCGGCATTTCTGTGTGGAGTTTGCATGTTTTCCCTGTGTTCGTGTGGGTTTCCTCTGGGTTACCCCCACAAAGACATGCAGTATAGGTGAATTGAATAAACAAAATTGGACATAGTGTGTGTAAATGAGTGTGTACGGATGTTTGTTTTTTCATCTACATTTAGATGTCTAATAAACACAAACTTGTTTACTGGGCTACTGTGCTTGGCTAACACCGTTCAGAACATGCATGTTGTGGTTTGACAATCAAGATATGAAACATTAAGCCAGAGGAAAAAAAAAAACAAAAAAGCTCAAGCACAAAATAAAGCATCTGTGTCTGCTAGGATCATTTTCATTCTGTAGTTTTAAAAGTACTAAATTACATTGCGCATTAAAAAACATGTTGCAGATGCTCATGTAGATATTCAATAAAAAGAATTAATTTATTTTAAACAATTTATGTGTTGCATTATGAACTCCAACATAATTTCTGCTCTGCATAAACATGATTTTACTTTAAAAAAAAACTCAAACAATTATATGATATGTCTTAAAAGTGCTAACTGATGGTTTTATGTTTAATACAAGCATGTTGTAGGATTAAAAATAAATGTAGTTATCTCAAAGAAGTTTGGCAATGATTTATATTTCAATAAAATAAATAAAACATCAGCATGTTGAGAATAATTCAGCAAAAATTTGGTGGTGAAATGATAGATAGATAGATAGATAGATAGATAGATAGATAGATAGATAGATAGATAGATAGATAGATAGATAGATAGATAGATAGATAGATAGATAGATAGATAGATAGATAGATAGATAGATAGATAGATAAGTATAAAAAACACTGTCACTGTCAGTTTTGAGATTAAAGTTTAAACAATGTTTTTTCTTGCATTTTAAATATCAAGAAGGTTTAGATTTTCCATTTCATGACCTCTGTAAATTATAAAGAATGTATAGAAGACTCAAAGAGTACCTCGAGTGGGAGAGACTGGACTTGGTTTTGAGAAGACTGGCTTCTTTTCTGAAACACAAAGTAAAATATTGTGAGCAACAAATTCTAAAATAATGCACATTTTTCTTAATTTATTCTAAACGTACCAAGTTAGAATTTTTAAGCAACATTTTTTAAATGAAATTATATAAATCATGAGAAAAGTGAGAGACAAATCTAAATATTTCACCTGTGGTTTTGTGATGTGCTGTTTGATTTGTGGTGGGAGGAATAAGCAATTGAGATCTGTTCCAATTCCCAAAATGATGAGCATCTTTAATAAATGGATTAAAAAAGGACTTTAGAAACTCCCATAGCTCAAACAGTAAAGAAAAACTAATTCTACTGATTTTTATTCAACAGGAAGAATCTTTTACCATTGATCACTACAGGATTCTGATTAGTCACTCTACTCCTGGTTACCCTGGTAACTGAAGGAGCTGCAATGAAAAGTCAACATGAATTTGTGTTTTGCATGATTAAAAAAATTAAAGGTATTTTTCAGTAATGATAACAAACCTTGAGAAGTTGTTTCTGATCTTATATTCACTGTTTTGGGTCTCCTGTGTGTCTCTTGGTCTGTTTTTTCACGAATGGACCTTTGTCTAACTGCTGGAAACCTTTCTTCTCTCCCAGACAGGGCTGAGGAAGTCACAAAAGAACTTTAATAATGCCTGTTTAACATTATTTGAGACAGAATTCAGCTTCTTAACAAACCTTGAGATGTTGTAATGGATCTGTTTGGAATGTTGTGTTTGTGTATATCATGGTCCAGACAATTTTCATGAATGGACCTTCGCCTCTCTAGTACAACCCCACTTTCCCGATTTTCTCTCCTTACTTGTGCAGGACGTGCTGCTTCTTTCCTAGATGTGGCTGAGAAACCAACAGAACAGCTCAGCTAAATTACCTATTAATTTTTATTTAATACTATGACATTAATCGTATGCTTCTTACCATGAATGTGCGTCTTGGTCTCGTTGTCCTGCTCAGCATCTTCATCCTCATCCATTTCTTCATCTTGATTGTCACTCTCATCCATCTCTACATCAGTGTGGTTAAGTCCATCACCTTTCTCATTTTCATCTCCTGCACTTTCATCCTCTTCAATCTTTTGTTTCTTATTTCGGGATTCTATGTTGGTTTAAAAAAAAAAAAAAAAAAAAAGTATGAGTACAAACTCATCTTAAAATCACTGTGTAATACAAAATTTCTTTAAATTGAATTCATATACCTCCATCATTCTCATTCTCGAGGTTGTGGGACTCTTTGGATCCATTGACCGCCGTGGATTCCCCATCATCTTTCAAAGCGTTCCGGCTTCTTTTTAGCCGGGGCCGAATGTCAGCAACATATGAACCTATGAGAGAAGATGAACTGAATAATTAATGCCAAAAAAAGCCAACAGGAACAAATATTTGTGCTTTAGCATCAGCAGAAACAGGCACAATATATTAAAACAAACTACATTAAAGGGCGGCGTGGTGGCGCAGTGGGTAGCACTATCGCCTAGCAAGAAAGTCCCTGGTTCAAGCACCGGCTGGGTCAGTTGGCATTTCTGTGTGGAGTCTGCATGTTCTCCCCATATTCACGTGGGTTTCCTCTGGGTGTTCCCGTTTTCCCCACAAGTCAAAGACATGCACTCTAGGTGAATTGGGTAAGCTGTCTATAGTGTGTGTGTGTGTGTGTGTGTGTGTCTGTGTGTGTATGGGTGTTTCCCCGTAATGGGTTGCAACTGGAAGGGCATCCGCTGTGTGAAACATATGCTGGATAAGTTGGCGGTTCATTCCACTGTGGCAACCCCAGATTAATAAAGGGACCAAGTCGAAAAGAAAGTGAACAAATGAACCTACATTAAGTACACAGAAACATTAATAACTCACTGTCCATTTTAAACTTTAATAATGCTTTTTAATGTTTTGTTTTGTAAATGTCACAAAATGTATAGCTTAAACAACGATTGACAACAAATAAAAAAAAGAAAATGAAAGTGTTAAATCAACGTTGGCTGTTAAGCTCATGCTCAGACTATCCTATCGATATTCTAGATAGTGAATACACCCCAAAAGAGTAACGTTATATCCATCTTGTTATTGTTTTTCTATAAAAACATATAATTTAACGTTACTAAGCGAATAACGATAGTTGCTAACGACCGTTAAAAGTAGCATGCGAGATTATGAGAATCAAAATAATTATAATAAAGATCAAGTACAGAAAATAGTCATGTACAAAGACATATTTCGTGACTTTTGTTTCATTCTTGACGGGTAAGTTAAGCCCAGAATGTAAACACACAAACATTAACTAAAGTCATTTGGGTTGAGCTTTAACTTAGCATCGGCAGTTACCTTACACATTATTGTTATTTTTAATCGGAAAGGAAATATAAAAGTTTCTCGTTTTCTATTACTGACTCGCTAACGTTATATCCGCTTTAGATGATAACCTACGTACTGCATGTCAATCGCTTTCGGTTTTTAATGCACATTAAGCGGGGTAGAAATTCAAACCTGTCTTCGATGTCTGTCTTGTGCTCATTCTAGTTGTTTTAGCTCCATCTTTTTTGGAATCACCGGAGTCCATTCCTGTAATATCGCACTACTTCTCAACAAACTTCTTAGTTTTGCTGTGCAGTTGAACCCGGAAAACGGAACATTAACGATGGTCTTCGTCGGAGCGACTTCGTTGGAGCACAACTCTCCCGGAAATAGTTCACAATAGCTGTCGGTTTCACTTCTGTAAATACGTTACTACCTTATCAAGCGTTTACTCGTCTGGTGTGTCTCCTGATTTACCATTTGAATCACGTAAACAAAATCCGAATAGACAAAGTAATTTATTAAGGCACATTAACTTTGTCTAAAGCAGGAAAAGCTAGGCATCAAATATCTGTTCATTTATCCGTTTCATTTACAGATTAAAAATAACTTTAAAACAATTTAAACAATAACAGATGTACAAGAAAATATAGTACAGCTATACAAATGGGAAAACTTCATTAAAGTCTTCTATTGAAGCTAATTTATAATTAAACTGAAATGTTTTTAAGTGAGGCCCATCATCCACAGAGTTACCAGACAACCATAGACCTTTATTTTCAGCGGCAATGCTTGAGTCTGGTCTGAAGTATTAATTTGTGCAAAAAATAAAAATCTAGCTGATTTCAGAAAGGTTTATCACAGGCTCCACAGCCCTGTTGCTCAATTCTCTTTTCTGCGACCACCGGCAAGATGAGATGTGAAATTCTGCTCCACAGTCCGCTCAGTTTGTCCACATCCATTTGATTAAACACCGCTGACTTGTCAGAGGAGACAAACTTCTGTTTTACATGATCTTGAACCATTTCCTCGATTCTTCCAAGATTGATATTGGATGGCACTTCCGCTTCAGCATCGAGCATTACAGTAAAAGCCAGGAAGACATTTTTAAAAGCAGCATTTTCATGGTCACAGTAGCGGTAGAAGATGAGCGTGGATCCAGGAGGAAGCTCCTCGAAACGGTGGATAACTGCTGCAAACTTTTCACTCTCAAACGCTTTAGTTAACTCACTGTCGATGTCCAGCTTGACCTGATCGCTGTCTAGTGATGTCTTGGCTTTTCCGTCAATGCTCAAAAATGTAGAGTTTCGTGTAGTGGAAAAAGCTTGAGCTAAACACTGAGCCAGACAACCAAGCGTCTTTTCGGCTCTATGGCCAGAGGTCAGAATAAGGCTGACGGGTTCAGTGGGATGCTCAGTCTTTAAGTGGCGTCTGATGTGTATAAGACTTCTCTTCCAGAGCTCTTGACGCTGACTAGGGAAGCTGGCCTGAAGTTTTTCCATTTCCTGATTGAACACTTCCACCATATCAAGCTGTTTTGGTATTTTGTTTGGTGTCGAGCCAGAAAAGTGCAGATAATAACCACAAACCACAGATACAAGGACAACAAAAATTCCAATCCATGGCAGATCTGTAAGAAGGGAAGATATTAAATTACTGTCTCTGCAAAGTCATCCAATAGTCATTATAATTCTTGGGAAAGAAACAAAGAACCACTCACTATTATCCGTTCCTTCTCTGATCTGTGGTGGTCTTTGTTGTGGAAGTCCAGAATAGGGGGAGTGTTGAGGTAATTCTGGTGTATAAAACACAGACAGCTTTTATATGAATGTAAGAACACTCCTTTTAAAACTGCAAACAATATTTACTGGAATTTTATGGACGTTTATTTTTATTATTACTAATATTATTACTATTACTACTACTCTTACTACTACTACTACTAATACTTATAATAATATTACTAATACTGTGATCTCATCCTGCAAATAAAGAATGAAATAAAGTGCAATAATCTGCAAAAATTATTCCAAGATGAAATACCTTCTTCTTTCATCTCAGGCTTCCTGTCACTCCCTTCATCTGTTGTTTTCAGAGTTTCATATTTAGAGTAAGGCTGTTTTTCGGTATGAGAGCCACTGGAAATCGGTTTCGGCATGTCTGTGTGTCAGATGAGGGAAAAAATATAAAGTGTTGTGAGCAATAATAGACCCTCAAAGCATTACAACAAACATAATCCAAAAACATATCATAAACGTGACACCCTTAATTTACCTTTGAGACTGAGATCTCCCTCTTATTGGTCATGGGCATGAAAGTATAAAATGACACATTTATGTCATCCAGAATGACAAATATTAGCATATAAAGTGTCTTTAGTTAAATTCACGTTGTCTATAATATTACAAAAAATAATCACTATACAAACTGTAAATATAGAGTAGTGATCGTTATTTTAATTGGAATAGCTGTTGAATCTATTTGTTTTTTCAACCCAAATCCAACCACATAACTCAACCTCACATTCTATCTTACTCAAATACAAAAATAAATATCAAAAAGAGGAAATGCATGCTGTAATCGCATGCTATATATAGTGAACTTATTTTCATCTGCTTTTTCTTAAAATTTAGTAAAAAAAAAGATTAAAAAAAACATACCATCATGTACATTAACTTGTCGAGAATCACCAGATGAACTAACACCTGTAAAAATAAAAGTAGAAGAGCATGTTTAGATCTTTAGATTCTTAACCGACTGCTTATAAATGACAGTAGATGCAATAATCGGGCTTATTCTTAAAGAAAAAACTCTCTTACCAGATTTACTGAGACTCTTTTTGTTCACTTGTTTCTCAGTTTTAGTTTCCGTCTGAGAAGCAGTAAGAATCAGTTTTGTCGTCTCTGTGTGTCAGACAATAAAATGAATAAAGTGCTGTGTGCAACAACCAAGCATCATTGTCATTATAAAGCAAAAATATGTTTATGTCTTGCAGCATGACAAACATAAGCCCATTAAAAAACAAGCTAAATTTCACTAGTCAAAAAAAAAAAAAAACATTAGCAAGCCTGTAATTAAAAATAAGAGTATTGGCAGTTTTTTATTGTCATAACTCAACGTCACAATCTGCCTTATTCAAAGAAAAATTAATAAATAAAAACAAAGAAATGCTATAATTTTCCTTATTCTAGGAGAAAATACCTTCTTTAGGACAAGTGACATTCTTTTCACCAGAATCAGCAGATGAACCAACACCTGTAAAAATAACAATAAAAGAGCAGGTTTAGCTACTTTCTTGAGAGTTGCTATTAAATCTCACTACTTTCTAATTCTTAACCGGATCGCTCTGCTTATAAATGACAGAATATGCCTTATTCTTAGAGAAAAATCAAAGTGAGACAAAGAAAAAATAAAAAGTGCGCTGTCATTAACGGAGCATAAACAACATTAAAATTGCATCAAAAACATATAAATCTGTAATAGTCATTGAACTAAACACAATGTTTTTTCACCCTGTTTAAAGATCATTATTACAAGAATCAATTCAGTTTGAATAAGAAAAATATGGTCACAACATCTTAATGGACCTACCATCTGCTTCTGTATCCACATTTATAGAATCCCTAGATTGGGCGTCATCTGTAAAATGTACAACAAACTTCAGTTTACAAACCCAATCGTTTATAGATGATAATGCAAAAGAAAAGCCTGAAAAATACAAAATACCTCTACTGGAATTGTCAAATTGAGCCCCCACTGACTGTGAATCTGCAAATTTTCAAATGTACAAATTTGCCACATATATCAAAATTATAATACAATCATTATGACACACTTAAAAATGTACAAAACCAACTTTAGGAAAGTACAATGAAGTTTACAAAAGGGAAATGAATAATATGAAATACTGCGATTACATTCTGCAAATACACGTTACCATGACATAGCAAATATAGAAAAGCAATATATTGCAATAATCTGCCTTATTCCAAGAGGAAATACCTTTTTCTTTAATCTCAGGTTTACGGTCTTTCCCTTCATCTGCTGTTTTCAGAGTGTTAGGTTTAGAGTAAGACAGTTTTTCGGTATGAGAGCCACTGGAAATCGGTTTCGGCATGTCTGTGTGTCAGATGAGGGAAAAATATAAAGTGTTGTGAGCAATAATAACCCCTCAAAGCATTACAACAAACATAATCCAAAAAGAGAGGGATTGGTGGTATTTCCTGTATCAGACAAAGAAAAAGTGCGGTGCCATTAACAAAGCATAAACAGCATTAAAAACAGCAACAAAAACCTACAAATCTCTAATGGTCATTACATTTTTCTCCTCATTTAAAGATCATTATTACAAGAATTAATTCAGTTTGAAGTAGAAAAGTATGGTCACAACCTCTTATAAATGGACCTACCATCTACTTCTGTATCCACACATGTAAAATCACTAGATTGAGTATCAACTGTAAAATTTACAACAAACTTTAGATTACAAACCCAATCATAATAAGGTGTTGTGTTCAACAAAAGAACCTCAAAGCATTACAACAAACATAATCCAAAAAGATATCAGAAACGTGACACCCATAATGCACTTTTGATATAGAGATCTGCCTCTCATTGGTCATGGGCATGAAAATATAAAAGGACACATTTATGTCATCCAGAATGACAAATATTAGCATATAAAATGTCTTTAGTTAAATTCACGTTGTCTATAATATTAAAAAGAATAATCACTAGACAAACTGTAAATATAGAGTAGTGATCGTTATTTTAATTGGAATAGCTGTTGAATCTGTTTACTTTTTCAACCCAAATCCAACCACATAACTCAACCTCACATTCTACCTTACTCAAATACAAAAATAAATATCAAAAAGAGGAAATGCATGCTGTAATCGCATGCTATATATAGTGAACTTATTTTCATCTGCTTTTTCTTAAAATTTGGACAAAAAATGTAAAAGATAAAACCAAAAAAAAAAACTTTAGACATACCATCATCTACTTTAACTTGTCCAGAATCACCAGATGAACTAACACCTGTAAAAATAAAAGTAGAAGAGCATGTTTAGATCTTTAGATTCTTAACCGACTGCTTATAAATGACAGTAGATGCAATAATCGGGCTTATTCTTAAAGAAAAAACTCTCTTACCAGATTTACTGAGACTCTTTTTGTTCACTTGTTTCTCAGTTTTAGTTTCCATCTGAGAAGCAGTAAGAATCAGTTTTGTCGTCTCTGTGTGTCAGACAATAAAATGAATAAAGTGCTGTGTGCAACAACCAAGCATCATTGTCATTATAAAACAAAAATATGTTTATGTCTTGCAGCATGACAAACATAAGCCCATTAAAAAACAAGCTAAATTTCACTAGTCAAAAAAAAAAAAACATTAGCAAGCCTGTAATTAAAAATAAGAGTATTGGCAGTTTTTTATTGTCATAACTCAACTTCACAATCTGCCTTATTCAAAGAAAAATTAATAAATAAAAACAAAGAAATGCTATAATTTTCCTTATTCTAGGAGAAAATACCTTCTTTAGGACAAGTGACATTCTTTTCACCAGAATCAGCAGATGAACCAACACCTGTAAAAATAACAATAAAAGAGCAGGTTTAGCTACTTTCTTGAGAGTTGCTATTAAATCTCACTACTTTCTAATTCTTAACCGGATCGCTCTGCTTATAAATGACAGAATATGCCTTATTCTTAGAGAAAAATTAAAGTGAGACAAAGAAAAAATAAAAAGTGCGCTGTCATTAACGGAGCATAAACAACATTAAAAATTGCATCAAAAACATATAAATCTGTAATAGTCATTGAACTAAACACAATGTTTTTTCACCCTGTTTAAAGATCATTATTACAAGAATCAATTCAGTTTGATTAAGAAAAATATGGTCACAACATCTTAATGGACCTACCATCTGCTTCTGTATCCACATTTATAGAATCCCTAGATTGGGCGTCATCTGTAAAATGTACAACAAACTTCAGTTTACAAACCCAATCGTTTATAGATGATAATACAAAAGAAAAGCCTGAAAAATACAAAATACCTCTACTGGAATTGTCAAATTGAGCCCCCACTGACTGTGAATCTGCAAATTTTCAAATGTACAAATGACTTCTTTTGCCACATATATCAAAATTATAATACAATCATTATGACACACTTAAAAATGTACAAAACCAACTTTAGGAAAGTACAATGAAGTTTACAAAAGGGAAATAAATAATATGAAATACTGCGATTACATTCTGCAAATACACGTTACCATGACATAGCAAATATAGAAAAGCAATATAGTGCAATAATCTGCCTTATTCCAAGAGGAAATACCTTTTTCTTTAATCTCAGGTTTACGGTCTTTCCCTTCATCTGCTGTTTTCAGAGTGTTAGGTTTAGAGTAAGACAGTTTTTCGGTATGAGAGCCACTGGAAATCGGTTTCGGCATGTCTGTGTGTCAGATGAGGGAAAAATATAGTGTTGTGAGCAATAATAACCCCTCAAAGCATTACAACAAACATAATCCAAAAAGAGAGGGATTGGTGGTATTTCCTGTATCAGACAAAGAAAAAGTGCGGTGCCATTAACAAAGCATAAACAGCATTAAAAACAGCAACAAAAACCTACAAATCTCTAATGGTCATTACATTTTTCTCCTCATTTAAAGATCATTATTACAAGAATTAATTCAGTTTGAAGTAGAAAAGTATGGTCACAACCTCTTATAAATGGACCTACCATCTACTTCTGTATCCACACATGTAAAATCACTAGATTGAGTATCAACTTTAAAATGTACAATAAACTTCAGATTACAAACCCAATCATAATAAGGTGTTGTGTTCAACAAAAGACCCTCAAAGCATTACAACAAACATAATCCAAAAAGATATCAGAAACTTGACTCCCATAATGCACCTTTGAGTTTAAATGAATGAAATTCAATTTTAAAATGACACGATCATGTCATCCAGCATAAAATACACTAGCCCATCAAAACAATAAAAAGCCAAATTTCTGTCATCTATAGCAGTCGTGTCCAAAGTGGGGATCAGGGGACAATGAAGGGGGGGGGGGGGCACATTTTATTTTATTAAACTATTAGAACTACCATATTTTATACACAACCTACTGAAGAACAAAATAGTAGTTAATGGTAACATTGTTAATATGTTAATAATAAACATTTAAAAAAACAACATGCAAATAAAAAGCCAGTCTTCCGATTTTTTGTGACCCCTTTGGTGATTATGTTATATTAAAGACACAATAGCATCAGATACAGCACACTGATTTTATGGCACCTGGTTAAACTTTGACACCTTTATGGCACTCATGTGAAGGATTCGGATTCATACCTTCCAATCCACCTCAGCATGAATCAAAGTTTATCTTTTCCTCATCATCTTGTTTCTCATTGTTTTTATCAAATATAATTATTTGATTATTTAAATGAGTATTTAACTGTGAATTGATTTTAACTAATGAATAAGTTAACACATTGCTTAATATAAGAATGTTCAGAGCATTCGCCTGTCTCTGTGTAACTTTTTCAGGAGCCAGCAAACTAGGCTGAGAACTGGAATCAACTGTTTTTATTGTTCTTTCTATGAGTTAATACTATCTAAAATGTCTAAAATGATTTAGCCATTTTTACCATTAATTCTTTTAAGTGATTCTATTTTTTATTCAAAATAGACTTTGTGTAGTAAGGATAATATAACTGCCTGAATGTAGATTATACCGTTTTTTAATGGTATACAAAAAGTCATGGATAAGAAACTTATGTGTGTGTGTTCTATTTGATTGTGGATCAGTTTCACAGGTCTGAAGTCAGTTCTAAACAGTCAAGTGGATGTCTGACGTTTATGCTTAAGATAATGTTCAGAATTGTACGTGTAGTGACACAAATGACCATTTTGTCACTTGAGGTGTTGTAGGGTTGTTTCTGACGCGTGAGAGCTCAACAAACGAATCATCCTCCAAATACTGCTTATCAGATTTATTTTTTGCACAGACAGTTCTTATGGTTCAATTTCCACTCACAGTCTGATATATAAATGCTCATAAAATCACATTGAATGCCTCCATAAAGCTCTTTCAAACACGGTCAAAAAATGTTGTGCTTCCCTCTAATTACACACCTGTTGTTCTAAGTCTTTGTCTACCTATATACTCCTCCAAACCCCCACTCCACCCAGTGGTCAAAAACAGCATTACAAAAAACATAATGGCTCTTACACCCCGGCCCCTAATTGTACATGGCAGGTAGACATAACAATTCAACAATGTACATACAAAGAGCCATTAAAGCAACACTATAAACATTGCATTAATCAATTCTGTGTAGGTGTCAAATTTAACAGTCTTTACCATCAGTCCATTATATTTCCATGTTGTCATACAACAGACAAAGTTTTGTCACGGGTCTCTCAAGTACACTGGTTTTAGTTTGTACTCGCACAGAACGAACAAGTCCATTTTTATCTGGAAAAACCTCCAGAATTCGCCCCATTAACCAAGACCCTCGAGGGGCAGACGAGTCCACAATGACAACAATGTCACCAGGAACAAAGTTTCTCCTTTCCTTATTCCATTTCTGCCGATCTTGAAGCAAAGGCAAATATTCATTTGTCCATCTTTTCCAGAATAAGTCACACATATACTGGACCTGTTTCCATCTCCTCTTGCTGTATAATTCAGATTTTTCAAATAATCCAGGTGGTAATACTGGTTTACCTTTCATCTGAAGAAGATGGTTTGGAGTAAGTGGCTCCAAATCATTGGGGTCATCTGACAACTTAGTTATTGGGCGATCATTTAGAATGGCCTCAATTTCACATAGTACAGTATGGAATCCTTCATCATCCAAAATCTGCTGATGTAGGATGGAATTCAAAATTCTTTTGACCATTCTGATTACACGTTCCCAGATTCCACCATAATGCGAACCTCCTGGAGGATTGAAACTCCACTGGACACCTTTCTGGAGCATTGCCCTTTGAATTTTGTTTTGATTCCATGATCTCAGTGATTCCTTTAATTCCTTTTCTGCGGCAACAAAGTTGGTACCATTATCTGATCTTATTTGAGTTACTTGCCCTCGTCTGCAGATAAATCTTCGAAGAGTGTTAATACATGAATCAGTGTCCAATGAGTAGGCGACTTCCAGATGAACTGCTCGACTTGCCATGCAAGTAAAGATGACTCCGTAACGTTTTACAATGGAGCGTCCTCTTTTAACTTCCACAGGACCAAAATAATCCACCCCAACATTCGAAAATGGAGGCAAATCGGGAAGGAGTCGTTCCTTCGGCAAGTCTGCCATCTTCTGCTCACCCACCTTAACTCCAAAACGTCTACAATGGCCACAACTCGATATAATCCTTCTGGCAGCTGCATTACCCTTAATGATCCAATATCTTTTCCTCAGCTCTGAAAGCATATAATTTCTTCCACTGTGACCTAACTGTTGGTGTATATGACGCAAGATGAGCGTGGCAATATGCTGATCCTTAGCCAGAATGATCGGATGCTTTCTTTCTTCCGGCATTGCAGAATTTATCAATCGTCCTCCTACTCTCAAAATACCATCTTGATAGACGGGATCCAATTTATACAGCTTGCTGTCTCGGCTTATTTTTGAAACAGGTGAAACTGACAGGTCATCGATTTCCTTTTTAAACTGTTGCCTTTGACTGAATGCAACAATAGCTACTTCAGCTTTATTCAAATCCTGCAAACTTAAATTTGGTGTAACCACAGAACCAGTTAGTTTTCGAAGTTCTTTCTCCGTCTTTTTAGAAGTTACTCCAGAAGAGTCTAAAGAGGCTTGAATTTCCTTTCTCTTTTGACTTCGTTGTTTCAGAACTGTCTTTAATTTCAAGAGCCAAGCAACAGCAACCTTCAACTTTGTCCAGTCTGAGAAATGAGTAATCAGCCTATGAGTAGCATTTGACTGTTCACTTACAAGAGTGCTATTTACACATATGTTCCTCTTGACTTCAGGATCATCTGCTTTAAGAGCAGAATCAAATATTTGTGCTGGCCATTCTTCCACTGGTTTCCACAGATAACTTGGTCCATTGATCCATTCTCTGTTTGTTAACAGCTGATCTGCTTTCAGACCTCTGGAGCAACAGTCTGCTGGATTTTGAGTCGTAGGTATGTATCGCCACTGTAATGGTGTTGTAATTTCTCTTATTGCAGAGATCCTGTTGGCGACAAAGGTAAGAAAACGTTTGTCCTCATTTTTTATGTATTTCAACACGGACGTACTATCTGTCCAGAATACTGAATCAACCAATGGAAACTGCATCTCTGCCCTTAACATTTTGTCCACTCGAGCAGCAAGCACAGCAGCTGTCAATTCAAGACGTGGAATAGTTACTGATTTCAAAGGTGCTACTCTAGCTTTACTGAGTAGGAATGTTACGTGAACATCATGTTTTGTCTCCATCCTAAGGTACGTCACAGTGCCATATCCAAGTGTACTTGCGTCAGCAAAATGATGCAACTGAACGTTGGTAAGTTCATCCATTCCTGCTGGTTTTAGACATCTGTCCATCTTGAAATCTGCCATCTTCTCAAGCTCTTTTAACCATAAAGACCACTGCCTTTGGAGATTTGAGGGTAGCAGATCATCCCATCCACATCTTATCCTACATAACTCTTGCAGGAGAATTTTTACTGTAAGAGTGAATGGAGCCAAAAATCCTAAAGGATCATAGACAGAGCATACCTTTGACAGGACACCCCGCCTGGTGCAAGGATGATCTTTACTAGTTATTTTAAAATTGAAAGTGTCGGATTCAACACACCACCACAAACCAAGAGCTCTTTCCATTGGCAACTGGTCCTTGTCCAGATCCATCATTTTTATGCCCTGGGCTCGGTGTTCTTCAGGTACACTTTGTAGCACAATACGGCTATTGCTGATCCATTTTATTAACTGGAAACCTCCTGCTAAGCAGACATCTGTGAGATCCTTGATCATCAAGACGGCCTCTTCCTCAGAAGGTACACTTTTCAAACAATCATCCATGTAGAAGTTTGTGTGAATTGTGTCAATTACCTTTTCAGGAAAGTCATCTTTGTTGTCCTCAGCAGTTCTACGTAAAGCATAGCAAGCACAACTTGGGGACGACACAGCACCAAACAAATGCACTTTCATCCTGTATTCCACAGAGTCCTGATTGATATCACCATCTGGCCACCATAGAAAACGAAGAAAGTCAGTATCTTCTTCTGCAACTTTAACCTGGTGAAACATTGCTTTTACATCAGCCATAAATGCAATAGGCTCTTGTCGAAACCTCACAAGAACTCCCAACAGTGAATTTGTCAGATTAGGACCCTGCAGAAGCTGATCATTCAATGATGTACCTTTAAAGGCAGCTCCACAATCAAACACCACTCTTAATGTTTGCTTCTTGGGGTGATAAACCCCATGGTGAGGGATATACCAAACTTTCCCTTCATCCTGTTTTAATTGATGCAACGGTACTATTTCGGCATAACCGTGTTGAATTACCTCATCCATGAAATCTTTATATTCTTGATGGAAAATCTTGTTTCTTTCAAATTTCCTTTTCAATCCAATTAAGCGCTGTTTAGCCACACAAAGGTTGTTTGGCAACATGGGAATTTCCATCCTAAAAGGAAGATTCAATTTATAATGTCCATCTTGAAACTCAATTGACTTGCTTACCTTTTCCATAAAGGCATGCTCTTCTCTTGACATTTCCTTCTTTTCAACAGAATTCTCATTAAAGTCATGATTGTATTGTTTACCAAGCATATCCTCCAATTTTCTTACAGAAATCCTGTTAACAGTCACACCTGAACATTTGACCTTATTCCTGCTTCCTTGGAGTGGTCCATTTACAACCCATCCCAATAGGGTTCTAACTGCATAAGGTCCATCTCCATTGCTGTTTATAACCTCCCAGGGCTCCATTACCCTGGAAGCATTTGCTCCAATCAGCAAATCCACATCAGCAGGAATTTGAGGAATCTCAACACCTTTCAGATATGGCCAATTTTCCAAATCCTTTTGAGTGACAATGTTGTCTCTGGATACAGGCATTCTTTCTTGAGTGAAGACTTCTGGAAGACTATAAAAGGTGTCATCAAGAAGGTTAGACACTTCCAATCCAGTCAAAACAGTGCTATTAACAGCCCTTTGATTGCCCATTGTTTTCAAAACAATATTAGTTTCCTTTCCCTTTAATTTCAAACTATGCATTAAGCGTTCTGAACAAAATGTGGCAGAACTGCCAGGATCCAAAAATGCATAGGTTTGAATTACTGTTTGTCCCTTACTGGATTTGACTTGAACTGGTACAATTGATAATGCACAGTCTCCATCGTCACCGGCCCCTGTTTGACCACATGTTGTGAGGGCAACATGTGCACTACTTAAAGATGAATGACTTTGTTCTTGAGTGCACACTCTTTCCTTTTGTTGGATATGCAAAATGCTGGGATGCTTTTGACCACACACTGCACAAGTCAAGCGCTTATCACATCTTTTGCTTATGTGTCCAAAAGAAAGACAGCCAAAACAAACACCTTTTTCCTTTAGAAAGTTCAATTTGTCTTTATGCAGCTTGTTTTGCATTTGTGTACACTGCTCCAATAAGTGATCACGTTTGCAGCACAAACATACAACTTGGGCCTTTGATCTTATATCAGTCTCACAGCATTGAATTGATTTATTGTTGGTGACAACTGTTGTTGCAAAACTGTTTCTAACTTTAGTCTTAGGTTGGGATTTCTGTTGCACAGGCTGGGTACTCTGGATATCACCAAACAAGGGATCTGATGACATTTTAACTTGACGTTCAACAAATATCACAATATCTTTAAACCGTGCTCTCTGCTTGCGTCTTTCCATTAACTCACATGCAACAGTTCTCCAATTTTCCCTTAATTTGTAAGGCAACTTCATGATGATGGTTTTCAAATTGCTTGGCATCTCTAGCTCTTCCATATAGTCAATTTCTTCCATTACATTACAGCATCCACGCAAAAAGAGAGCATAACTCTGCAATGAATTTACATCCTCAGATTTTATTGAAGGCCATGCCAAAACCTTTTCTACATATGCAGAAGCTATTTTGAATTCATTGCCGTAATGTTCCTTTAACAATGCTTTAGCTTGCACATACCCTCTTTGTGCATCCATATGCTGACAACTGCGCACAATCTCCCTTGGCTGACCTTGTGTATATTGTTCCAGAAAGTATAAACAATCTCTACTATTTTTGGTTTTGTCTTCTATTCCATGCTCAAATGCTCTCATAAAAGTTTTATATTGCAGAGGATTGCCATCAAACACAGGAATATCTCTTTGAGGCAGTGTGCTGGATTGTTGTTGTTGTACAAGCAGAGTGGTAATTTCATTTTGTTTTTGCAAGATACTACAAAGGTTCGAAGTTATTATTCCATCACTGTTCTGCATTACACTTGAGGATTGCATTTGTGACGTGAAATGAGGATCAATTTGTGGCACACTGTGAATTTGCTGAATCACGTTCCTTGAGCTTTCTTGCAGGGAGACTTCTATTGGCACATATGCCTCTGCATGAGGGTTGAGAGTAACAGTTCCTTTATCACAATATGCATTCATATCATCAGTGCAGGTTTTGAGAGACTGATTATTTAAAACAGCAATTTTTGCAGTAGCGGCTGCAATCTCTGCATCAATATCCAGCTGTTCTTGTCTATGTCTCAGCTTTTCTTGTTGTACCTCCAAAGTATGCTTTTCCTTTAAAGCAGCTGCACGCGCCATTAATGCAGCTTTCTCTGCCTCTGCCATGATTCGTGCTGAAGCAGCAGAAGATCTCCCACTACGTACACTGCTTGAACTTTTCTTACTGGATGATTTACTGGATTTACATGAGGATATGTTGGAAATGCTATCATCTGGATTAACATCCTCTTGACATACCCTTGCATCAACACCAGTACATGAAACTTGACTTTCAGCGCTCAACCATTTCTCAACATCATCTACAAACTCATCGCAAATCAACATCTTTCCATTGAACCATGTTTGTTGTTTTTCCTTTTCTTCACTGGGCAAAAGAACCATCACCGAATTGTGCATTTCCTTTGTTTCGTCTCTCAATTTGATGAATTTCTCAAAGGAACACTGCACCTCCTTTTCATATTCTCGGTTGGACATAAAATCCTTTATAATAGCCATTAAGTTCTTTGCCTTGCTTAGTTTACACTTTCGTGTCTTTTGCAGAGTTTCCAATTTTTCCAATAAAGCCTTAGGAGTAAGCTTAATGAGCCGCTTTTCCCTCACATGCTCTGTTTCAAACTTCTCAAATGGCACAATAGTCTCTGTCTGTTCACAGGTAGCCGCACCATCATCATCACAATTCATTAAACTCATATTCACAGCTGAAATCGTTTGCCTCCTAAGCAACTTTAAAACTTAAGCAACCAATGCATTGGATTTACGGTATTGTGTGCACACAAAGTCATTCATTAAGTAGCGCTACACATACCTTTGTTTCATTCATTCAGTTCATCACGGCTGCTCCTCAAGAAAGTCCAAAAATGATGCATGATTATCCACAAAGAAGCCATTTTTTGACAAATGTAGTGACACAAATGACCATTTTGTCACTTGAGGTGTTGTAGGGTTGTTTCTGACGCGTGAGAGCTCAACAAACGAATCATCCTCCAAATACTGCTTATCAGATTTATTTTTTGCACAGACAGTTCTTATGGTTCAATTTCCACTCACAGTCTGATATATAAATGCTCATAAAATCACATTGAATGCCTCCATAAAGCTCTTTCAAACACGGTCAAAAAATGTTGTGCTTCCCTCTAATTACACACCTGTTGTTCTAAGTCTTTGTCTACCTATATACTCCTCCAAACCCCCACTCCACCCAGTGGTCAAAAACAGCATTACAAAAAACATAATGGCTCTTACAGTACGCACGAACCCCACGTGAAAATTTTCCAAGTCTATCTGTGTTTTAACCAATCAGGTTAGAAAACCTATAAGTATGACGCAGTTAATGACGTTATGTGAGAGTATAATTATTATTGATTGGTGATTATAAGCAGAGCGGCCTAGGAACTCATTGAGTGTTGAAGCTGGCTTCTGCTGATAAAACTGTAAACTATCTTCAGTAAACTTTATTTATTTATTTAAATCTCTGACTCCGGCCCTTCTTCATCTGACAGACTGGTCATTCTTTGGGTTAAACTGTATACCATCCCTACAGTGTACATGCAAAATAAATCCAGGCCACAACTGAACATGGAGGATAGTCTCCAAGTGGCGTTCTCCAAAATGAAACGATAAATAGCCTGTTGCTTACTGATATGTGTGCAAGGTTCATATGTTTATAACCACCTCAGAGAATATGGGGGGTCGTGAGTCACTGGCATTGTTATTTTGGGATTCACGTGAGAAAATACCTTCTTGTCTTTTACCGGATTTACTGTTGTGCTTTGCATCCTCTTGCTTCCCAGCGTGAGAGACATTGGTGGTCTTCCCTGTGTGTCTGACTACAAAAAAGGAAAGTGCTGTGTCATTAACGGAGCATAAACGGCATTAAAAATCATAACAAAACCACAAATCTGTAATATTCGTTAAATTAAACAAGAAATGTTTAATTTATGTGACAAACAAACGTTTTCCTTTGATTTTTTTGTTACATTACCAACAATGAGTTTACAGTTAGACCAAAATCTTTTAAGACACGAGACTTAAGTATTTTTATTGTTTAACTAGTAGGTGCAGGACAGTCTTGTTCAAATGTGTATGTAAAGAAAGGAAAAAAAGAAAGGAAATCTGTGAAATATTATACCCTAGAAATGTTCATAAATGGGATTAAAAAAACAAAAGCAAGTGAAGATGCTGCTGCAGTGAGTCTGGAAATATACTAAAGTTCAGGTTTGCCTGTGTACAGGCTGAATTGATCCTTGTGTAAATATTGTCATCCCAACAGTAGTCTGAGAAATATGTGGTTGATTATAAACCATTCCATATTGCACCTTTCGATCAATGTTATCTGACATTTTCAGGATGAATCAGGTGAAACAGTTTACCACTAATTATTGCCCTATTTTAGTTCTGTTTTCAAAACCATAGTGCATATACCAAAGTGATAATGTGAAAAATACTGAAGGTGTGTGAATAAATTTTGCTTTAAGTGTATACTTCACACTGTAAGTGATTTCCTACACTCTTGCTCAGAGATCACTAAAACTTCGACCTCACATCATATATTTTCTTCATATATTTTTGTTACATGACAAAAAAATGGGATGTATTTAACATTATGTGCATTCTCTGTTACTCATCAACAATGCGATGTGCTACTAGAAAGACACTAACCGATCTGATCTTGCTCGTTTTGTTGAAATCCAGAAGAGCAGGTTTGTTGTGTTGGCATCACATCTACAAAACAGACAACAGCTTTTACAGCTATAAATGAAACAACATTTCTAATTGGAACTGATCTCATCTAGAAATTAAATTCTGATATGCACCAAGAAGATTTGATGGCATACTTTATGTGAAATAGCTTTTTCTCAACAAAAAAAAAACAAACAACTTATATTGCACAAAATAACAAATAATCCTTGACTTCTGGGATCATTATAACAAGAATTATTTTCATTTGAAAAAGAAAAAATGGTCACAACCTCTTACAAACCAGACCTACCATCTTTTTCTTTATGTACATGTTCAGTATCCCCAGATTGGCCATCATCTGTAAAATGTACAACAAACTTCCGATTTCAAACCCAATTGTTTATAATGACAACACATAAGAAAAGCAGGAAAAATACAAAGTACCTCCTTTTTTCTTCACTCTGTCTACCCCCGTATTCCCAGACGAATCACCACTGGAATTTTCAAATTGAGCCCCCGCTGACTGGAAATCTGCAATTTTTTAAATGAATGACTTCTTCTGCCACATGTATCATGATAGAGTATATACAGGAATCAGAAAGTGAAACTCAATACCTTTTAAGACCTTTTTTAAAAAAATGTCCGCACATTTTAAGATCTTATAACCACTTTAGTTTTCAACTGGAAACACTGGCGAGATTTTAACTTACAGTATATTTACTAAATATTAATGTAAGAAACTAATCCAAAACTAAACCATTATTCATATACTGAATAAAAAATCTATTAAACCTAGCTAATTCAGCAGGCTGGCATTTATAGAGCTGCAGAAATTATGGTGTTGCCTTGGTTACTGCAGTAAACAAAGCAGCATGATGTCAAATCTAGTAGGATTTCATTGATTTCTTAAACTACACAGCATCCTGATATTCACAGATTTAATTCAGGAAAACTTTTGCATACACCCATACATTGCATAATTAAAAATGATAAACAATTCAATAGCTTGCAAAACAGCATTTAAGACTTTTTAATACTTTTCAAGGGCCTTAAACTTTTCTACATTGATTTATCAACTTTTAATACTTTTCAAGACTCTGCGGACACCCTGCATAATCATAATATTATGATAAGTATGCCTTACTTATTAATGTACAAAACAAACTTCAGGAAAGTAGGATGAAAACTGCCTAAAACTCTAATCTGCAGGCATTAAATACTGCAGGATAACAATGCTACTTTTATCTCAACAATTTAACCTATTGTACAAAGCATGTTTGCAAACATAATTTTTCTAGAACTACCTTTGACTTGAGCGTCCTGGTCTGTGCAGGTCTCTGTCTCATTATTTTTGTCTCTTGTTTCAGCCTCTTTGTTCTTCGCATTGTTGATGTCTGAAAGAGAATGCTAAGGTCATATCTTTATTATATATATATATATATATATATATGTAGTATTTTAAAAATTTACAATATACAATCTTACTGCAGTGTTACTACAGTGTTATATAGTATTTCTAAATATACACATTGAAGCATTAAAACAGACAGTTTTTTGCATGTATTACTTTTTAATAAACTTTGCTGAAATTAAACTTTGATAAAATAAAACTTCAAAATATGGGTGAAATAATATTGCATCACTCAGCCTAATAGTTTTATTTATGCACAAAATAAACAACATACTTATTCTGACTTGTACGCTTTATATTATGTAAAAGAATTAGTGATCAGTCTACATTAAAATAAATTAAAACCATAAATAAAACTGTATTATAAATTATTAAACACTTTTTGCTGGAAAATAGGTCAAATCTACTGGTTTGAAGAATGGAGACAAGAGTTAATGGCATTTAATTAAAAGACTTTTAATGTCATGTTAAAATGAATCTTGTTAATCATTTTTAATCTTATTTTTGTTTTAATAAATTTGTTCCATTTTTTATTTTTTTTATTTTTAAGTCTCCATGTATTAGCTTTGTTTGTTTAAACTAAGATTTAGACATCCTTATGGCATTATTTTTTGTCTTTTGATAAGTGAGAAAAGCTCATGAATGTAGCTGATATGAACACTCTAAAAATCATTTCCCTCTGCTCTGTGTGCCAGACAAGGACATTTTATATTGTGTCATGCACATCCCCATAAACCATTTTAACAAACATTATTTGATCTCAAGAAGATCATAAAAACAAATATGACTTCACGCTGTACTTTATATTTGAAAAAGAAGTTTAGTTTTTTAAACAGACCAATTCACAGACTTAGCCTGGTGCCGCAGTGGGTAACACAATTGCCTCACAGCAAGAAGGTTGCTGGTTCGAGCCCCAGCTGGGTCAGTGGTGTTTGTGTGTGGAGTTTGCATGTTCTCCCCGTGTTCGCATGGGTTTCGTCCGTGTTTTCCGGTTTCCCCCACAATCCAAAAACATGTGGTACAGGTGAACTGGATAAGCTAAATTGGTCGTAGTGTATGTGAGTGTGTGCAAGAAAGTGGGGGTGTTTCCCAGTGTTGGGTTGCAGCTGGAAGGGCATCGGCTGTGTTAAACATGTGCTGGATAAGTTGGCGGTTCATTCTGCTGTGATGACCCCTGATTAATAAAGGTACTAAGCTGAAAAGAAAATGAATGAATGAAATGACAGACTTGAGTACGCCTCTATTTATTGTTATGTTGACTCTCCTGTTGTTTTCCGGCACATTGGTTTAGCTAGAAATCTACTCCTCAATAAAGCTTGCATACACATATCACATTTATTTCTCTATTCTGGCAGTTGTTTTTTTTTGTTTGTTTGTTTTTTTTTGCAGAGATGAGTTTATTAATATACATTTCATCTGTTATATGAAACATTAATGTTTTTCTTCTTCTGACAGTACTGACAAAATAACAACAATAAAAAGTGATTCAAATATCCCAATTTTAAAACCACGAATAGTAGTAAGTCCCCCAAATGAAACAATAATAATATTATTGTTAAACAACTTTTATTTTTATACAAAAATTATATAATGTTAAGTTACTTACTGCTGCTGTCGCTGTCGCTTTCGCTTGTCTTATCTGTTGGATAACTCGCCATCGTTGTAGCAGGACACTTGTGATAGACCTGAATGTTGAAACAGCACATTACCCCAAGTTGTAAATACAAACGACCCACAAAAACGAAACTACAGTCCAGTTAAGAAAGATAAACATACAACCTGGAATAAGGTTACTGAAGAAAATACAGTGAGAAAAAATAACACGTAAAACACACTGACACCCGTCCCTCTTGTCTGAAAAACTAACTAACCGGTTATCATGCAGTCGCCGTTTATTAGATAGTATTTCGGATTTTGCCCTACCAGACTCTTCCTCACGCAACACAACGACGCCACTCGTTATTCTTCCGGGTATGGCTGGAACCTCTTTGACTTGGTATTTTTTTTCTCTCGGACGGTTTTAGAAGAGGGACTTCATGTGCGCAAATATATACATTTTAAAAGATTATTAGCATTGTTTGGACTGACACACATACAAACTAAATGTATCTTACGAGACATCGATTACTACCAAAGTCATGTTATTCAAACCAACGATTTTAGTGAACGGTTGCGTATTCCTCATAACAACCCATATAGCAAAACATATTTGACCCTGATCTGCCCCACACAATCAGCTTTTGCTTGGGCCACATGTCACCGTGAATTACGGTACATGACTGGACCAGGTCTGGCCAAACATATACGAGGCTGAATCCAGCTTCTTATTCGCAGCTTCTTATTGACGCTATGCGGTCCACCTTAAAAACCGCGACGCTTCTGTTTTTCAGCTTCTTATTCGCGCTCATCTTAGGGACCGTGTTTATTTATGTTCCTTTTTGAAAAATGAAAAATGCTAAATGAAACTGATATAAGATAGAAAACGGGCTGCAAGCATGAAATCTAATTGCATCATTGATTAATTATTGACAGTGCCATCGTTTGAGTACAATATATTTCTGTTTTTTTTCCAGAAATAGTCCTTTATGAAGACTTCACATGACCCACCTATGAATAGACAGTGCCTGCCTCAGCAAGGATTTTAGATACAAAATAATTGTTTTATTAATTCAAGTTGTAAAAGTTAATGCATATGTTTTATCTGCAAATACTACAATTTGTATTAGATTTCAGTAGCTTTTTCTGACACCCACGCCTGTAAATACAATTCAAGTTTTGTTAAACCTATTGTTTCAAAGAACAGACAATGCACTTTTTATACACCTTTTTATACACCTTATACAAATAAATGTGAATTGAACTGAATGAGGTATTGCATAATTGAATACTGTACCATGTTCTCTCTAATATTGCACAACAGGTTAATAGTATACGTCTATACACGCGTCTGCATATGTATAAATATTTATAATTCTATCCCATTGAGAAGACAGACCTAAAAACGGTCAAAATACAGTCATTTCAATAAATGCCCAGTTGGAGGTGCTATATGCCAAGTTTTTTGCATATTCATTTAATGTTTTATTTTTAACTTTTATGTATTTGTGTGCCTACTACATACTATGTATGTGTGTACTATAAACTATGTGTGTGTGTGTGTGTGTGTGTGTGTGTGTTCACATTAAAAATGTTTAACACTAAAGATAATAAAAGTATGTTTGTGTTATAAATTTACACAAAATAAAGATGCCAATACATAATCATTTAATAATAATGATTTATTATTATTATTATTAATAATATTAATAATTATTATTATTATTCATTTTTATTATTAGTAGTAATAGTAGTAGTGAAATAAAAATATTTTACAATGCACTTATACATATTGTACTGAAATAAATGCCAATTAATCTATATACCTTATAAAAATTTATTAATATGTACCTATTTATAAATATGTGTGTAAAATCTCTCTCTCTCTCTCTCTCTCTCTCTCTCTCTCTCTCTCTCTCTCTCTCTATATATATATATATATATATATATATATATATATATATATATATATATATATATATTCATACACAGTACACAATACATTTTCCTGTGTCTGTGTTTATTTAAGTGTATGTATATGTATTCATTCATTTTCTTTTCGGCTTGTTCCCTTTATTAAACTTTGGTCGCCCCAGCGGAATGACCGCCAACTTCTCCAGGACATGGTTTATGCAGCGGATGCCCTTCCAGCTGCAACCCATCTCTGGGAAACATCCACAGTCGTACACTATGGACAATTTAGCCTTCCCAATTTAACTGTACTGCATGTCTTTGGACTGTGGGGGAAACCGAGCACCCTGAGAAAACCCACGTGAAAGCGGGGAGAACATGCAAAAACAGAAAGGCCAACTGACCAAGTCAAGGCTCGAACCAGCAACCTTCTTGCTGTGAGGCGACAGTGCTACCCACTGCGCCACCATGTCGGCCCTGTGTGTATATATATATTTATATATACAAATTAACTATATACCTATACAAATTTACATGAATTTAACAGTACTAATATTACTAATATTAATATAAATGATAAAAATAAAAATTATTAAAAATATTATTATTAATTCTATTATTATTATTATTAAGCTTATTGTTGGTATTTTATTAAAAAAATTACAAGAAGCTTATACATATTGTACTTGTCTATCACAAGTATAGAACAGTTTTGTTCCAATGCACTCTTGGCACAATTGGTGGCGCTGTATCTCAGCTGTCTTTGAGCGTGCGTTGAAAATCTTACTTGGGTCTTGTAGACAATCTTCCCATCTATCAGCAAACCCAGATTCATATCAATTTACTCTACTAATTTTAGGTTATTGACCTCTGAACTTGCCATAAATCGCAATACAGCAAGGCAAAAACAGGTATGTACCATTGCACTCTGCACAATTGGTGATGCTTTATCTCAGCAGTTTCTGAGGGTGCGTAGAATATCTCACTGAGGTCTTGTAGACAATGTTCCCCTCTATCAGCAAACCCAGATTCATACCACATTACTGTACCATTTTCTGGTTATTGACCCTTTAAACTTGCCATTAATCGCAATACAGCTATGTACCATTGCACTCTTGGCACAATTGGTGGCACTGTATCTCATCGGTTTTTGAGGGTGCGTTGAATATCTCACTGAGGTCTTGTAGACAATGTTCCAATCTATCAGCAAACCCAAATTCATAGCATATTACTTTAACAATTTTAGGCTATTGACCTCTGAACTTGCCAAAAATCGTAATACAGCTATGTACCATTGCACTCTTTGCACAATTGGTGGCGCTATATCTCAGCAGTCTTTGAGGGTGCGTTGAATATCTCACTGGGGTCTTATAGACAATGTTCCAATCTATCAGCAAACCTAGATTCATATCACATTACTGTACCAATTTTAGGTTCTTGACCTCTAAACTTGCCAAAAATCGCAATACAGCAAGGCAAAAACAGCAATGTACCATTGCACTCTTTGCACAATTGATGGCGCTATATCTCAGCAGTCTTTGAGGGTGCGTTGAATATCTCACTGGGATCTTGTAGACAATGTTCCAATCTATCAGCAAACCCAGATTCATACCACATTACTGTACCAATTTTAGGTTATTGACCTCTGAACTTGCAAAAAAATCGCTTACAGCGAAGTACCATTGCACTCTTGACACAATTGGTGGCGCTATACCTCAGCAGTCTTTGAGGGTGCGTTGAATATCTCATTGAGGTCTTGTAGACAATGTTCCAATCTATCAGCAAACCCAGATTCATACCACATTACTGTACATTTTTCTGGTTATTGATCTCTAAACTTGCCATAAATCGCAATACAGCAAGGCAAAAACAGCTATGTACCATTGCACTCTTTGCACAATTGGTGGCGCTATATCTCAGCAGTCTTTGAGGGTGCGTTGAATATCTCACTGAGGTCTTGTAGACAATGTTCCAATCTATCAGCAAACCCAGATTCATACCACATTACTGTACCAATTTTAGGCTATTGACCTCTAAACTTGCCAAAAATCGCAATACAGCTAAGTACCATTGCACTCTTGACACAATTGGTGGCGCTATATCATAGCAGTCTTTGAGGGTGCGTTGAATATCTCACTGGCATCTTGTAGACAATGTTCCAATTTATCAGCAAACCCAGATTCATACCACATTACTGTACCAATTTTAGGTTATTGATCTCTAAACTTGCCATAAATAGCAATGCAGCAAGGCAAAAACATTGTACTATTGCACTCTTGACACAATTGGTGGCACTGTATCTCATCGGTTTTTGAGGGTGCGTTGAATATCTCACTGAGGTCTTGTAGACAATGTTCCAATCTATCAGCAAACCCAGATTCATACCACATTACTGTACCAATTTAGGTTATTGACCTCTGAACTTGCAAAAAAATCGCTTACAGCAAAGTACCATTGCACTCTTGACACAATTGGTGGCGCTATACCTTAGCAGTCTTTGAGGGTGCGTTAAATTTCTCATTAAGGTCTTGTAGACAATGTTCCAATCTATCAGCAAACCCAGATTCATACCACATTACTGTACATTTTTCTGGTTATTGATCTCTAAACTTGCCATAAATCGCAATACAGCAATGCACAAACAGCTGTACCATTGCACTCAACCAAAGCTCATTCAAAAAATCTTGCGGACGTTTATGGAGAACGCGATTTATCTAGCCGGAGGTACGTATGGCTGCATTTCATTTTTTTAAGCATACGCTACGGGGCGGTGTGACGCCGTTCGTCTTCATGCTCACCGGCAGCTCGTCATGTACGTCTGCAAAGTTGAGACGCAGACAGGAGCTGACCTCAACAACGGCGGCAACCCGACAATCCGGTTCTAGTCCGGAGAACAGCGGTTTCAGAAATCAGGTAAGACAATAACAGAATCCAAAAAATAAAGTGAACGAGTTCATAACAGGGTTTTCTTTTTCTAGACAGCTTTTGTAAAACGTTGCTCGGGTTTAGGGAAGCAAACAGGCGGACGGGCGGGTCAATCGGTAAAAGCAGTTGGGTTTAGGAAAGGAAGAGGAGGGTGGGTCAGCCGATTGGCCAGTCACCCAGTCAATCATTCAGTCAGTCAGTCAGTCAGACAGATGGTCACTCGACAGTGGCCTCCGGTGGCTTTACGCGAGAACAAAAACTGAGCAAATATGTGCCTCCCAGAACGTATTTCGCGGTCTCCAGAAACTTCCACGGGACTACGTTTTCAGAATGAGTCTGGGTTGAGTACAACAGTACATAGCTGTTTTTGCATTGCTATATTGCGATTTATGGCAAGTTCAGAGGTCAATAACCTGAAAATGGTACAGTATTTAGTAAGAATCTGGTGTTGGTAAAAGATGGGAACATTGTGTACAAGACCCAACTGAGATATTTAACGCACCCTCAAAGACTGCTGAGAAATAGTGCCACTAATTGTGCCAAGAGTGAAAAGGTACATAACTGTTTTTGGATTGCTCTGTTTTGCTATTTATGGGATGTTCAGAGGTCAATAACCTAAAAATGGTAGAGTAACTTGGTATGAATCTGGGTTTGCTGATAGATTGGAACCTTGTCTACAAGACCCAACTGAGATATTTAATGCACCCTCAAAGACTGCTGAGAAATAGTGCCACCAATTGTGCCAAGAGTGCAAAGGTACTTGGCTGTATTACGATTTTTGGCAAGTTCAGAGGTCAATAACCTAAAATTGGTACAGTAATATGCCATGAATCTGGGTTTACTAATAGATTGGAACATTGTCTACAAAACCCCAGTGAGATATTCAAGGCACTCTCAACGACTGCTGAGATATAGCGCCACCAATTGTGCCAAGAGTGCAATGGTACTTCGCTGTATTGCTATTTTTGGCAAGTTCAGAGGTCCATAACCTCAAATTGGTAGAGTAAATTGGTATGAATCTGGGTTTGCTGAAGGATTGGAACATTGTCTACAAGACCCCAGTGAGATATTCAACGCACCCTCAAAGACTGCTGAGATATAGCGCCACCAATTGTGCAAAGAGTGCAATGGTACATGGCTGTTTTTTCCTTGCTGTAAGCGATTTTTTGCAAGTTTAGAGGTCAATAACCTAAAATTGGTACAGTAATGTGGTATGAATCTGGGTTTGCTGATAGATTGGAACATTGTCTACAAGACCCCAGTGAGATATTCAACGCACCCTCAAAGACTGCTGAGATATAGCGCCACCAATTGTGCAAAGAGTGCAATGGTACATGGCTGTTTTTGCCTTGCTGTAAGCGATTTTTTGCAAGTTTAGAGGTCAATAACCTAAAATTGGTACAGTAATGTGGTATGAATCTGGGTTTGCTGATAGATTGGAACATTGTCTACAAGATTCCAGTGAGATATTCAACGCACCCTCAAAGACTGCTATGATATAGCGCCACCAATTGTGCCAAGAGTGCAATAGGACAACTGTTTTTGTCGTTGTATTGCGATTTATGGCAAGTTTAGAGATCAATAACCAGAAAATTTTACAGTAATGTGGTGTGAATCTAGGTTTGCTGATAGATTGGAACATTGTCTACAAGACCTCAGTGAGATATTCAACGCACCCTCAGAGACTGCTGAGATATAGCGCCACCAATTGTGCAAAGAGTGAAATGGTACATAGCTGTTTTTGCCTTGCTGTATTGCTATTTTTGGCAAGTTCAGAGGTCCATAACCTCAAATTGATAGAGTAAATTGGTATGAATCTGCGTTTGCTGAAGGATTGGAACATTGTCTACAAGACCCCAGTGAGATATTCAACGCACCCTCTAAGACTGCTGAGATATAGCGCCACCAATTGTGCCAAGAGTGCATTGGAACAAAACTGTTCTGCTGTGTCAAAACTAGGTACCTAGCCTGAAAATGCTGGTGTTTAATTTGTGTATTATCTTACTGTGATAGGCAAGTACAATATGTATATGCGTCTTGTAAAATATCTATTTTTTAAAATAAATACCAAAAATAAGATTAATAATAATAATTAATTATTATTATTATTTATATATTATTATTATTATTATTATTATTATATATATTATTATTATTAGTAGTAGTACTGTTAAATTCATGTCAATTTGTATAGGTTTATAGTTACTCTCTCTATCTCTCTCTCCCTCTCTCTCTCTCTCTCTCTCTCTCTCTCTCTCTCTCTCTCTATATATATATATATATATATATATATATATATATATGTATGTATGTATGTATGTATGTATGTATGTATGTATGTATGTATATATATATATATATGTATGTATGTATGTATGTATATATATATATGTATGTATGTATGTATATATATATGTATGTATGTATGTATGTATATATATATATATATATATATATATATATATATATATATATATATATATATACATACACACACACACACACACATACACGGTGGCGCAGTGGGTAGCACTGTCGCCTCACAGCAAGAAGGTTGCTGGTTCGAACCTCGGCTTGGTCAGGTGGCCTTTCTATGTGGAGTTTGCATGTTCTCCCCTACGTTCGCGTGGGTTTCCTCTGGGTGCACCGCTTTCCCCCACAGTCCAAAGACATGCAGTACAGCTAAATTGGGAAGGCTAAATTGTCCATAGTGTATGACTATGGATGTTTCCCAGAGATGGGTTGCAGCTGGAAGGGCATCTGCTGCGTAAACCATGTCCTGGAGAAGTTTAATAAAGGGAATAAGCCGAAAAAAATGAATGAATACATATGAACACAGACACAAGAAAATGTATTGTATTGTATTGTGTGTGTGTGTGTGTGTAAATATATATATATATAGAGAGAGAGAGAGAGAGAGATTTTACACACATATTTATAAACCTTTTATAAGGTATATAGATTAATTGCCATTTATATGTAATCAGTAAAATATGTATAAGTGTATTGTAAAATATTTGTATGTCACTATACAAATTAGTAACTACTACTAATAATAATAATAATTATTATTATTATTAAATCATTATTATTAAATGATTATGTATTAGCATCTTTATTTTGTGTAAATGTATAACACAAACATATTATTATTATTATCTTTAGTGTTAAACATTTTTAATGTGAACACACACACACACACATATAGTTTATAGTACACACATATATAGTATGTAGTACACTGAAAAAAGTGTTGCATGTAAAACTGTTGCAAACAATTTATTTGTGTTGAATTTAAACAAACAAATTAAGTTTAATAATGTTCAACTTAATTTGTTTGTTTAAATTCAGCGCAAATAAAGTGTTTACAACAACTTAACGTAAAAAAAATTGAGTAAATCCAAGGAATCATCTTTGAATGATTTTTTTCAGTGTAGGCACACAAATACATAAAGGTTAAAAATAAAACATTAAATGAATATGCAAAAAACTTGGCATATAGCACCTCCAACTGGGCATTTATTGAAATGACTGTATTTTGACCGTTTTTAGGTCTGTCTTCTCAATGGGATAGAATTATACATATTTATACATATGCAGACGCGTGTATAGACGTATACTATTAACCTGTTGTGTAATATTAGAGAGAACATGGTACAGTATTCAATTATGCAATACCTCATTCAGTTCAATTCACATTTATTTGTATAAGGTGTATAAAAAGGTGTATAAAAAGTGCATTGTCTGTTCTTTGAAACAATAGGTTTAACAAAACTTGAATTGTATTTACAGGCGTGGGTGTCAGAAAAAGCTACTAAAATCTAATACAAATTGTAGTATTTGAAGATAAAACATATGCATTAACTTTTACAACTTGAATTAATAAAACAATTATTTTGTATCTGAAATCCTTGCTGAGGCAGGCACTGTCTATTCATAGGTGGGTCATGTGAAGTCTTCATAAAGGACTATTTCTGGAAAAAAAACAGAAATATATTGTACTCAAACGATGGCACTGTCAATAATTAATCAATGATGCAATTAGATTTCATGCTTGCAGCCCGTTTTCTATCTTATATCAGTTTCATTTAGCATTTTTCATTTTTCAAAAAGGAACATAAATAAACACGGTCCCTAAGATGAGCGCGAATAAGAAGCTGAAAAACGGAAGCGTCGCGGTTTTTAAGGTGGACCGCATAGCGTCAATAATAAGCTGCGAATAAGAAGCTGGATTCAGCCTCGTCAAACATATCTGGGCCAAGTCTCAGCCAAGTTAATAACTTTGCCTGAAGTGGGCCAGACATGTTGGTGTTACACGACTGCAATGAAATTAATAAACCCAGGAATCATTTAGGTGTGCTACGAGCGTGCTTTTTCTCAACGCGAACTGATTGGTAGAATTTTTTTTTCTTTATTTGAAAATAATAAAAAAAAATCTTATATTAAAAGTGGGTCAAAATAGGCAAACTTACATGGCCTACATATCAATTAACACCCGGCCCAAATTTTGTGTGCCACCTTAACCATGGTGCCACCTCTGCTGTATGCCGGTGTCGGATGAATGCCTGCTGTGCCAGATTTTTGCCAAATCTGGGCCAGAATTCTTTGCTACCTGGGAATCAAGCCCCTACAGTAAACAAACCCTGCAGGAATCCTGTAGGATTGTTGGCTCTATGCAGAAATCCTGTATGACTCCTGCAGGATAGTATCACACAATTTTTATGTTGCTAGCATTTGTAGGATTTTTGTAAACATGTCCACTGATTGTGCAACATCCTACAGAAATGATAAGACTCCTGTGGGATGTAACATTCATGGTTTTGCTGGTATGTTAATGTTTATTTCTGACAAGTCAAAGGATAATAAATTATACACCAGCAGTGGATTGGGGCATATTCTGTAAAATATTTAACCATTCAACTGGTCTAAATACATCCCATCTGCAATTTTGTTGTAGCCTACACATAAGAAGCCCATAAAGATCCCATTTATCATTGTACGTTAATAGAACATACAGCTAAATATCATTGCAGAAGCAGCCATCAATTACTACTTCCCAAGGTGAACCAATATATTTAGTGTCCAGCTGTAAATATTTAGGCATTTAACTAGATCATGAGTTTTCCTTCAAAGCATACAAAGCAAATTTGGTTTGCAAATTGAGAGTTATGCTTGAGTTTTACTATTGAAATTGATCCTGCTTTTCTCTTAAAGCTCATAAACATTTGGTGACTGCAACATTTTACCATTGCTGGACTATGGTGATGTTTTATATATGAATCCCTTAACCAGATGTCTTAAGCCTTTAAACTCTGTTTATCATAGCTCTCTCAGGTTTGTTACAGGCTGTTGTAGTGTCTCACCACTGTAAACTGTATGCCAAAGCTGAGTGGCCTTCTCATGTAAGTAACACCCACTGGATGAATCTTGTCTACAAGGCTTTTCTTGGTCTGGTGCCTTTATACCTATGTTCCCTTCTTACATCAAAAAGCCACCATGCCCTACGTTTAAGTGAAATTTTCCCCCTCACACTGGAATACTCTTCAGTCTGAACTGAAAATGTCTGAGCTCATCTAGATAACATAATTTCGCTCTATCATTTATAACAAACAACAACAGTCCATTTCTCCATGTATGTGTTTCTAACATATTGTGATGCGGTATGGCTGAATAACCAACCTGTTTTTTTTTTTTTATTATTGAATTTTTCAGAATTACACAGCAATGAGTAGAACATGTATTTTAGGGAAAAAATAAAGAAGAAAAAAAAAATTAACAAAAAACTTCAGTGTGGTCTAATTTAAAATAGTTTTACAATATCGCAGTGTGCACAGTTAAGAATAAATTAATCCAAAGCAAATTGTGTAAAAGTCCCAAATCAGGAAACATCATAGAGATCCTACAGGGAACATGTAGGAATCCTGCAGGAAAATGATCACAAAATGCAATGGGATCCTGTCCTGTAAGAATGTGTAGACATGTGGTGTGTGGGATCCTGGAGTTTTTCTTAAGCATTTCAGCAGGATTTATTGTAAGGGGTCTTCATACATGTATCTCTCTGTACACACAATTCGTCCTAGATAAATGCTATATAGATTTCCCAAATCATGTTCAGTAAATTGACCTTGAGGTCGAGGATGATTCATAGAAATTGGAATGCTTCTGAGCTACATGATCACTATAATTATTTCAGTTTCTTTATTTTTACATTTACATTTATGATAGGAAGGAATGTTTTCTTTAAGGTTTATTTTAATTAATATAATTTTACCATTTATTTTTATTTCTCTTACTTCAAACCCACTTTCTCAGTGTCAGAAATAAACAAAAAATAAATTCTATAAAATGGCATCAATATATAGACCAGTGTGAATTGTCAAATTTACACATCCAATATCAAGAGCCTACATATGCAAATATGTAACAGCAATGTAGTAGAATTTTTATTTCAACTAGTTTAAATATTTAGCTGAGAAACAATCCAAAGCATCTAATGTATTCCTGTTTTCACACCAGTTCCTATCATTTTCTAATGACAAACAACAGGAACCTGTAAAACCAGAGACATGTTACATCAATCCAGTTTAAAAAGGAGAAAAATGTCAGTTATTAATCCTGAAAGCCTCTATTATTTAAATCTGAAACTTGTAAATCACCAGTATAATACAAATTCATCATGGTGCAGTGGTGAAAAATCAAGTCCTGGAATGTAATACATTTGTGCTTCTAAAATAGAAACATATCCAGATACACTTACTTTTGACAAAAACTATTAGTACTTCAAAAATTCACACTATTTTTTAAAACTTGCTAAACAGTTAGCAGTTAACTCTCTTCTAGTGCTCTCACATGTTGAGGGGTACTTTTGTGACAACAGCTTAAAACAGGCTTTCCACATCTCCCATTTCCACCACAACAGTCTTGAGCTGAGAGTAATACTCAATGGTCAGTGCGCCATTCTCCTTTCCAAAACCTAAAAGAAAAGAAGAAGATAACAATACATTCGGTCTCTCCAGCATTAGCCAACAGATTTGGCAAAACAGAACACAGTTCATGCTTGGAGCTCTTCTAATGAGACAGTGATAAATGGACAGATAAATACTTCAATCAGAATTAAAATGATCAAACCAAATTAAACTATAATCAGTTTGAGACTGGTGAGATAAACCTTTCTATAATCCGAATAAAACAAAATTATTCCATGTAAATGCTTTGAACTAATTACTCTTTTTCTACGGCACGATTTTCCACAACAAGGTATTCCCCACAGCTCAAAATAGTACGTACACAGCTTGTCGTGACTGTGATGATTATTGTAAATATGGGTCACTTAATACGTGCAAAGTGAGCTGCATGGTTTCACTTACTCAACAGCTATCCTTTCAAAAGAACGTATCAAGCTCTACAACTAATACAGCCTCCAAAAACTCATCATTTTCTTATAGCCAATGGTACCTTCCAGCAGTAGTTTGCTTACAAATTAATGCTGTTTCTTGATTGAGAGCAACCATTTCAAAAAGAATCTGAATCAAAGTGGTGCATGTAAACATCAGAATAGATAATATCTCATGCCTCAACACACCATCAAATCTTTCAACTAGATTTTAATCAGAATTAGAAAAAGGTGAATGTGTAGTAAAGATAAATGTGCATATGTTTGGAGTACCTGACATCTTGTAGCCCCCAAAAGGAACTTCCACAGGACAAACATTGTAATTGTTGATGTAGCACATTCCTGCTTGAAGGTTTGCAATGACTCTGTGGGCACGTGCAATATCCCTAAAATCAAAGCACAGGGAAATGTTTAAGTGCCCCAATTATACCATTTTAAAGGTTCAGTGAAAATTGTGAGTCTTCTAGTGCTTTGATGAAGGATTCGGATTTCTGCTTTCCAATCCGTCTCATCGTGGACCAACGATGGACCAACGATTCATCATCCTGTTTCTCAGTATTTAACTGTGAATTGATTTTAATTAATGAATAAGTTAACACATTGCTTAATATAAGATTGTTGAGTGGATTTGCCTGTCTCTTTGTAACTATTTACAGGAGCCAGCAAACTAGGTCAGAGGTCATGGAGACCTTGAGTGGCTGAGGACTGGAAACAACTGTTTCTATTCTTATTTCTATGAGTTAATACTATCTAAAATGTCTAAAAGTGATTTTACTGTTTTTACGGTTAATTATTTTAAAGTGATTCTACTTTTTATTCAAGATAGACTTTGTGTAGTAAGGATATTATAACTGCCTGAATGTAGATGATACCGGTTTTTAACCAGTTTTGATAAAGACGGCTGAGAGTACACTCAGCCTTGGATAAGAAACAGATTATACTTTAAGTGTGTGTGTTTTATTTGATTGTTGATCCGTTTCACAGGTCTGGAGTCAGCTCTAATCAGTCTAAGGGATGTCTGACGTTTATGTTTAGATATTGTTCAGAATTGTTTGCACAAACCCCACTTGGAAATTTTCCTAGTCTATCTGTGTTTTAACCAATCAGGCTAGAACACCTATAAGTATGACGCAGTTAATGACGTTATGTGAGAGTATAATTTTTATTGTTTGGTGATTGTGAGCAGAGCGGCCTAGGAACTCATTGTGAGTGTTGAAGCTGGCTTCTGCTGATGTAACTGCAAACTATCTTCAGTAAACTTGATTTATTTATTTAAATCTCTGACTCCGGCTCTTCTTCATCTACCAGACTGGTCATTCTTTGGGTCAAACTGTAAACTATCCCTACATTGAACAGTGTTAAGTGACAGGGTCAAAAGTACATTAGGTGAAGAACATACATATCATTAGCCTCGTATAAAAAAGTAGGAACTATATAAAAGTCCCTACAAAGATAATACAAGCATGTATGCTTTCTGATAGTTGTCAATGAGAAGTTTCATTAAACATTTTTCTTTATTTATGTAATAATCTTAAAACTACTCATGAACTAAAAAAAGAAATTTGTCATCTTAGGCTAAAAAGACAGCTTACACTCACACTTTATTAGGTACACCTGTCCAACTGCTCATTAAAGCAAGTTTTTAATCAGAAAATGACATGGCAGCACCTCAATGCATTTAGGCGCAAATCGTCACCTTGGAATTATGAGGTTCTATCTGTGTTCTGAATGATTTTGAGATATTGAACTTCAAGGTTTTTGCATTCCATAGCAAACAATATGTGTGTGACATTTTTTTAAGTCTTAAAATGTAAACAACTTATAACAAACATCCTATAATGTAAATAAGTTTAGTATGAGTTAATGTAAATAAGTCATTTAATAAGAATATGTGAATAACTCAATTTTGACAGAAATGTTAGATAGAACCCTACATTTCTAAAGTGACGAAATGCCTTGTTGATGTCAGTGGTCAGAGGAGAATGGCCAGACTGGTTCGAAGAAGATTGGAAAAATGTTGTCTGGTCTGATGAATCTCGATTTCTGCTGTAACATTTGGATGGTAAGGTCAGAATTTGGCATCAACAACATGAAAACATGGATCCATCTTGTCTTGTATTAACAGTTTAGGCTGGTGATGGTAGTGTAATGGTGTGGGGGATATTTTTTGGCACACTTTGGGCTCATTACTACCAATTGGGCATCATGTCAACGCCACAGCCTACTTGAGTATTGGTACTGACCATGTCCATCCCTTTATGACCATAGTGTAACCATCTTCTGAAGGCCACTTCCAGCAGCATTTGCCGTGTCATAAAGCGCAAATCATCTCAGATTGATTTCTTGAACATAACAATGGGTTCACTGTACTCAAATGGCCTCCACAGTCACCAGAACTCAATCCAATAGAGCACCTTTGGGATGTGGCGAAACGGGAGATTCGCATAATGGATGTGCAGCCGATAAATCTCTGAGGAATATTTCCAGTACCTTGTTGCATCTGTACCACAATGGATTAAGGCAGTTTTGAAGGCAAAAGGGGGTCCAACCTCATATTAGTAAAGTGTACCTAATAAAGTGGCTGGTGAGTGTATATTAAAGATAAGACTGCCAAGATGACATGTTGTGGGACAAGTCTCTTTTTACTTTTTTTTTTTTTTTTTACAATAGTACCTCTTCCTCCACAGAAGAAAGTCAATGCCTTCTCCTACATCACCGTCCTAAATCATCGTCTGTTTAGCTCCACCAAAAAATCAAGAAAACCAAAAACATGCAAAGAGACTATAAACACAAAAAGATGCTGTGCAGTGCCAAATTTAATTCCCTTCCATCTAATCCCAAAATTGGAAAAAGGTGGATGAACTTCCACTGCATTCCAGACTGCATTAAGAAGGCCTCATTGTACAGCGGTTTCACCAACAGACAGCCTATTAATATTAAAATAGCCTATGACTCCCAAATAATGTTGTTTATTTGAAGATAAAATCTTGATTACATTATAAGTGAACATCACAGAATAGTACAAACTATGCAAAATCAGTTTATGACCCAGATTATCGTTAAAGCAAAATATATAGCCATAAATATATGGTTTAGTCACCTGGTGAAGACTCCAGATGCCAAGCCAAAGGTTGTGTTGTTGGCTCTCTGAAGAACTTCCTCTTCAGTGTCAAAGGGCAGAACAGACATCACAGGGCCAAAGATCTCCTCCTTCACACAGGTCATATCATCTCTGCAGTTATCTGTGTGCATTACAGCCAGTAAGAGCACAGATAAAGAAAACAGGACTCATAATCAAGTTATTATGGTGGTTGTTTTTAAGACTTATTTGAAGAACTCCTTATTTCATTGTAATGCACAGTTCATTTTTGTTCAAAACCTGTTCTTACTATGTTTTAATTTTTATATTGTGCAAACGTTTCAGTGCACTGGAAGAATTTTGTGATTGAGACAACTAGTGACTGATTGAGATGCACCCTTATCCATCTACTGTTATTGTTAAAATAAAATATGAAACAGACACAGTAAAATAGTGTTAATCAAACTGCAATATGAAGAGAATGCTAATAATACGGCTCTCTCTTACCCAGCACACATGGAGACACAAAGTATCCGTCTTTCAGTTTGGGATCATTGGGGACAAATTGTTCTCCTCCACATAAAACCTTTGCACCCTAAAACAACAATGATGCTTTTTAAAAGCTACATCAACAGTATTTTAACAGTGAAAATAAGCATGAAACAAGACACATGACCAGTTTTTTAAGATTCTGTTGATGGTAGTAATTTAAAGTAGTTGGTTGCCATCTACTGGTTGCTGATTGAATTTTAAGATGTAAACGTACAGAAAGGTCAGCACAGTGGCTCAGTGGTTAGCACTGTTGCCTCACAGCAAGAAGGTTTGCATGTTTCCCAGTACTGGGTTGTTGCCAGGCATCTGCTGTGTAAAACATATGCTGGAATAGCTGCCGACCCCTGATAAATAAGGGACTAAGCTGAAGGAAAAGGAATGAATGAACAGACAGGTTTAAATGGTCTTAACACACCTGCTGTTTTCATCAGAATAGTTAGCTGTTGACTTTCAGGTAAATGATAAGCTCCACTTGTTGACTGTTGGTGTTTCAAATAAAAAAATGAACACGCATGCAGTGGAGTATGGATGAGCAGGGTTAACTAAATGCTTGTGTATTTCTATAAACTGCACTACAGTACCTGCTCTTTAGCTTGCTTGATGAAGCCCAGCACTTTTTCCATGTGTGGTTTGCTGATCAGAGCACCCATGCGTGTTCCTTCACACAGAGGATCTCCCACAGAGATGGCCTTGGTCCTCTTCACAACTTCCTCCAAAAACTTTGGCATGATCTCCCTCTGCACAAACACCCTTGTTCCATTGCAGCACACCTGGAGTAGATCCAGCACAGTTACAGTACTGTCTTATGGTGATATCTTTATAGACAGATGATCTGCTGCTATATTAATGTTGGGTAACCTTCATCCTTTGCAAAAAAATAAAGCTGTGCTTTTTTTAAATGTGCACAAATTTGCATGCATTAAAGTGCTAGTTTGTGTTGCACTAGATTAGATGTAAATTAGGGCCTGGTGGCCTCTTGAAACATTGGGATTGTGGGTTTTTGAGTCAGAAAAGAGTGAGAATTCAGATTAATTCACCTACAATAATTGATATGAATTTCTGACAGTTTATAGAAAAAGTGTGGTTGAAGCAGATTTTTTCACTACACACCTCTCCCTTGGTGAGGAAGTTGGCCATGAGGGCTCCTTTGATGGCGTTCTCCAGCTCACAGTCGTTAAAGATGATCAGCGGTGACTTTCCTCCAAGCTCCAGAGTCACCTGCTTTACACCTTTAGCTGCCATTTCCAAAACCTTGATATGAAGACAACATCAACATCACATCTCACACACTATTTAGAAATTACAGACCTTTAATTTATTTTTCTTCGGTTTAGTCGATGATTTGTCAGAAGTTGCCACAGCAGAATGAACCGCCAACTATTCCGGCATATAATTTATGCAGCAGATGCCCTTCCAGTTGCAACCCAGTACTGGGAAACACCCACATACCCTCACATTTATACACACATTTACACTAAGGCCAATTTAGTTTATCCAGTTCACTGTTAGCACATGTCTTTGGACTGTGGGGGAAACCGGAGCACCCGGAGGAAACCCACACAAACATGGGGAGAACATGCAAACACACAGAAATGACAAATGGCCCCGGACTCGAAACAGTGACCTACTTGGTGTAAGGCAGTGCTAACCACTGAGCCACCCTGCCACCCTAAGACCTTATATAATATTCATTCATTCATTCATTTTCTTGTCGGCTTAGTCCCTTTATTAATCCGGGGTCGCCACAGCGGAATGAACCGCCAACTTATCCAGCAAGTTTTTACGCAGCGGATGCCCTTCCAGCCGCAACCCATCTCTGGGAAACATCCACACACACATTCACACACACACTCATACACTAAGGACAATTTAGCATACCCTATTCACCTGTACCGCATATCTTTGGACTGTGGGGACACCAGAGCACCCGGTGGAAACCCACACGAAGGCAGGGAGAACATGCAAACTCCACACAGAAACGCCAAGAGTTCGAACCAGGGACCCAGCGACCTTCTTGCTGTGAGGCGACAGCACTACCTACTGCACCACTGCCTCACCTAATGTTAATTTATTTACCATCTAATATTGGTGGCAAAATTGCCATTTATTTGTATGTGTATGTGTTTACACACATTAATTTTTCATAATTTAAGTTTTGAAAACAGAAAATATTTTAAATAGACCTATTATAATTGTAAGAATACATAATAAATTTTAAGTACTCTTTTTTTTTTGCAATTTAAATACCAACATGTATCCAATGCAAACTTTTTTAAAACCAACGCATCACATTGTTAAGCAATAGGAGCAAATTGGGGAATCTTCCAACTCTAATATGGAGACACATGCGAGTATCATTAACAGTACTTTTTGACCTGATTGGTATTCTGGTATTGACCCAATTAAGTACTGGTTCAAAAAAAAATACTGGTTCTCAGTACCCATCCCTAGTGAGGACGAGGAACAAATTATTTATTAATGCTAGCTACATATTCTCTCTCTTTTTTTTTTTTTTCATAAAATACCTTCTTTCCAGTAGGAACACCACCAGTGAGGGACACTTTAGCCACCATGGGATGGTGACACAGCAGGCTTCCTGTTTCGGGTCCCCCTTGTACCACATTAAAAAGTCCATCTGGGACACCTGCCTCTTTGTAGATCTCTGCCAACATGACAGCAGTCACCGGGGTCATGGGAGACGGTTTAAACACCATGGCATTACCTAAGAGAGGGAGATCATCATAACAGTTATGGGGGAACATGGAAACTAAAAGGGACCACTTTAAAAAGGGATTGTATGAATAAAAATCAGTGCTGCATGATAAATTGGTGCTCATATTAGCACTGGCCAATAAATGCTTAACTTAAGTAAAGTCTCTGATGATAAATTACTATTTTTCCAGTTGAGTCATGATAGTAATTGAGAATTTTGCCTTTTTGAATTTTGTTTGGGGCAAAAAAAAAAAATTCTATCAAGTTTTATATATCAGATTACACATATAAGGAGTTAACTGTAGTCTGTTTTGTTTAAAAAGTCCACAACTGTGCAAACTTCACAATTTACAAACACATAAAGCAATCCTCCAATACCACAGGCTATAGCTGGAGCTGATTTCCAAGCAGCAATCTGGAATGGGTAATTCCAAGCACCAATGCCAACGCACACTCCCAAAGGCTCTCTTCTGGTGTAGGCAAAAGATCCTCCTGGAAGCTGTATATGCTGACCCGAGTATAAAAAGATCATTTTAGACATCATTTATCAAGTATTTTTTTTAAAGATTTTGGAGATTAATAAATTGGTCACCGAGTGTCTACTACTACCTGACAGTGTGGGGGCAATGCCAGCATAGTACTCAATACACTTCCAAGCAAGGTCGATATCCACCTTAGCCTCCGTAATGGACGTGCCATTGTTGGCCACATCGGTTTTTGCGATTGCATCCCTGCGCTCCTGTAAGTGAGATGTTGGTTTATTGGTTTAGTTTAATAATAAGACAGTTTAATTTGACATATTGACAGAAGCGAACAGATGATGTAGAATGTAATAGCATCCCTGCCCCATTTTTTACAGCTGCCTTGGTTATTCTAATGTTTATTAACCATGAGGTTTTAAAATAAGTGTTGGTTTATTATTTACATGCAATGAACCAAACAAACTACACAACAAAGTTTTCTTTTTTAAGCACTGAATGAGTGAACAAATGATCGAACAAACAATCCGCATTATATGCTTTTACCCTGATAATTCTGGCAGCCTCCAGCATGATTCGGGACCTCTCCATTCCTGATAATTGACTCCATTTTAGGTATGCAGAATGAGCACTTTTAATAGCCTGATCTACCTCCTCCTCTCCACAGGGAATCATATCACACAGCACACGACCTGAGTAGAAAATAAGGTGACTTTGAACACATTACAGAGAGGGAGGGCTGTGTGTACATGAGCACAAATACTAAGGATTTTTTTGTTTACCCTTGACAAATAGTGTTAAAGTACTGCTTTCTGTAATTGACTATTACAATGTGAGACAACAAACTTCAGGGCAATTATAGTAAATCAATACCTCAATGCCTGTAAAGTTAGAGCATGCATTGTGACATCTGTAAAAAAAAAAATAAAAAAAAGTAGTCTGAAGCTTTCAACACATGATAAAATGTATTTGAAAATTGTGCTTTTCGCAAAAAACAAACAAAAAAAACTACCTAAAAGTATTTATTTATATATTCATTTCCTCATTTTTAGCATAAAATGGAAAAATAAGCAGCAGAAGTAAATATGGCTCTTTACTGACACCTATTGGCCTGGATGTTTGTTTAAACATCTAACTATATGGGTATTTGTTGAGTTGTGTTGACTTATGCTCTGTTATGCTTTAGCTCTATTTTCTACAATATTGTCATTGTTGTGTTTTTTGGTTTTCTTATACCATGCTCATGCTTTGTTTACATATTACATAAACATTTTTATTATTGTTATTACATGGTCAAAATTCACAAGAAAGATATTAAAGTAATTAATTAAAGTAGTAAACAATCCTACCAGTTGCAGGCTCGTATACTGGCTCGGAGTTTTTCGTGTTACTTGGCTTCACTCTTGCTCCTGCCCAGAAATTTAGTGGTTCCTTCACCACCAAAGTGCCTGTGGAGACGCTCTGGAACTCGGGCAGCGACAGAAGCGGTTGCTGAGCCATGGTAAACTTGACAGGAACCAATTAAATACACAGTCAAAGTTAATATTTGTTAGCCAAATATTTGTGTTCACTTTCACTTATACAAAATACTTGCAGAAGTAATTCCACTTTAAGCTGACCATGTGAAATAATTAGGCAAATCATCAGCGGCGCTATGAGGAAATGCCGCATTACAGAACAATGAAGTACACTTCATGAATAATGTAACAGTGACTGATTTATTTTATGCTTTTTTGAGCAAAACAACAATACTAAAAGTAATGCATGCACTAAACCAGACCAACCCTGTTCCTGGAGATCGACCTCCCAGCAGATTTCAGTTGCAACCCATATCAAATACACCTGCCTGTAATTATCAAGTGCTGTTCAGGTCCTAATTAATTGGTTCAGGTGTGTTTGATCAGGGTTGGAGCTGAACTTTGCAGGAAGGACGATCTCCAGGAACAGGGTTGAGCACCACTGCACTAAACAGTCACTCAAATGCAGGTTTCTTACCTTTTCAATGCAAGCTGTTTATACTGCACAGAAGTCCATTCCCCTACTGGTAGTAGAGCAAAAAGTTCTCAAATAGCCATGATTATGGGGAATTAAATGATTGATTTATGATATTTATATTCTTTAGGGACTTGTTTTACATCACTGCCATTTTAACCAGGTTAGACTCAAGTTACATTTTAAAATGCCAGTTGGTTACTGACAATACATCCCAGCCAGCTGTGCTCATCAAATTCATCTCCTTGACTCTCATGCTGAGAATTTTTTTATTCCATTGCTGCATCTAGTCCAAACAAATCAACAGCAAGTGCAAAAGCATATCTATCTGCTAATGTGATATGTTTCAGTCACTGTATATTCTACTGTTAGGGCACATTGCTGTCTTCAAATAAAGGCAAATCAATCTCCAGTGCCGTCAGGCGTTGCAACTCCTCTTTTGATGTTTATTTCTAAAGCAGTGTTTTGAGTCTGAGTCTGTGTTCTGGCAATCTTCAGGTCTCATCTTAAGCCAATGTGCCCACATCATATCTAATATCAATCATATTCTACCTCTAACATCTGAGCTATGGGTAGGTGGAGGATGACGGGGCTTTCCTCGATCTCAATCTACTTAATGGGCATTTGAAGACCAAATTTTTTTATAAATGTCAATGATGTAAAACAACAGGCCTAAAATATAGATTTTACATTTAAATCCATCATTTAATTTATCAGGATGAGATTTCAAGAAGTCACATCAAACTAGGATAGACAAAAGCGATGTTGGAAAGAGGTTTCTGGTGGAAGAGACATGTTGATTAACCAATTTATTTGTGATAAAACTTTATAAAATGTCAATCATTAAAAAGAATATATCCATAAACGTGCATTCTCTTGATGACTTGAGAACAAATCATTCTATTTAACCGATTCTTCTCAGTGAACCAGTCAAACTAGTTTATCGATGTGCCTGACACTCCCTCTGATGAGTGGGGGGAGGCTGCAGAGCTGGAGCAAGACAGTTTCACACCCCAGGCAGTCCAATAGTATCTGGATGCAGCCTTTATGATGCAAGCTGAGATTGCATCACTCAGCAATGCAATGTCAGACACAATGCACTCAGATGAAGCTAGTGACTTCACTGTGACAGGTAGGGTTGGGGTTGGGGTTAGGTGAGCACATTAAAAAGTATTGGATGCAGCTTAGATAGACTGCACTGCACCAAGTCTAAAGCAGTCTCATGGCCCATATGTTCTGCGTTCAGTAGGTAACAGCACTGCTGAATCATTGAACCTGCAGCCATAGTACGGGTACGCAGCAAAGTTTGTTAATCATTATGCCAGAAGGTCAAAAAAACTACGAATTATTTTTTTTAATAAACATTACATAGCTTCTTCAGTGTTCAAATTTTGGACAAATCTAAACTTACTAAGTAGCTTATATTGTCATGAACTTAGTCTTAATACTTATTTCAGATGAGAAATGTTCCTCTTCTGTTCAGCAAAATAAATAGTATTTCATAAAAAAGTATTTTATGAAACCGTAATTTTAATTAAATTACAAAAATATTTTAAGTAATCAGTGGAAAAGTCTGTTAATTACAGTCTCTAACTTTAGTTAGCAAACCCTTTTTCAAAACAGTCAAACTCATCAAAACTGCTGCCTCAGAAAGAGTAGGCCTACGTACTATTTGTTAAAAAAAACAATATGTAGCGAACAATTCATAATCTTTTTCAAAAATGTCAGCTCTTTCCAGTTGTTCAAACTAGTCTATTTTGCAGCGCACCATAATTAACCTGCGAAACTTGCCACAGGGACTAAACCATAATTGCACAAAAAGGCGTTCTTCGTTGCATGGGTGTGTGTGTAACTCAAGTTCTGCTTAAGCGTTAAATTTACTTACCTATGTATTGCGTTGAGGTGCAGGAGTTTGACTGGAGTGGAAGCAGCACTGGTGGCCCAGAGCTCCAAAGCCGTACTCACTACTCCACAGCTGGAGCTCCAGCTCCTCCTCGCTGGAGGTAGTGGGCGTTTTTTGAAGTGCCACCGGCTTGTCTTAAATGTTACTCTAATTAATATGTCATTAATAATAATAACAACGATAATTATAATTATTTTCAAAAAGGACTGTATAATTTTCTGTAACAAATGGTTTACGCTTAAGAACCAATCAAAACCTTACATTAAATAGATTAAACCATTATTGGAAAATTAAAAATTAAAAAATTAAACCATTTATTGAGCCTCTGCTGCATCATAAAAAAAAGAAAACAATGAAGGACTATAATCGCTGCAGTCTCGTCTAGGCTTAATTTTGTTCATCATAACCTAAGATATGTAAATTTTCCTATAATTTATTTTCGCTTTCCTGATAAACAACCTCTTCTTCTGTCATCAAACACAGACAACTTTATAGATGTCATTAAGATTTAGACTAGAATGAATATTCACACTTGCACTTAATTTCTGAAGCCTATGCAAAAATGATACAGGAATTTACCATGTTTATTTCTACTAGTTTAAAACAATTAGCTGAAAAACAACCAAAACATCTAATGTATTTATATTGTTTTCAAAAATGCCATATATCATTGTCTGTAATGACAAGCATCAGGAACTGGTAAAACCAAAGACAATACATCAATCTGAATTGAAAAAAAATTGAATTGAATTGAAAAAAAAATTTAAAAAAATAAAAAGACAAAAACACAATTATTACTCTTGAAAGCCAAGGTATATTTATTTCAAATTGAAACTTGTAAACCACCAGTGTAATACAAATTCTTCATGGTGCAGCGGTGAAACAACAAGTCTTGGAATGTAATAAACTTGTATAGTAGAAACATATCCAAAGGCACTTGCTTTTGATTGAACTGTTAGTACATCAAAATTCACATGTTTAACGGATCTGGAAAATACTTTGGTTAGTTAAGTAACTTCAAGCGTTCTCACACATTGAGGCCCAATGGAAATGAGTGACATAAATATAGACTGTCAAAGCAGTACAGCACTTAGCTAGTCTTCTAGTAATTGACTTCTATTGCAAAGCCAGAGCTACAGATCTGAAAACTGGGAAAAATCACATTGCGGTACGGAGTGCTGGTGGTTAACCTAACAATAGCTTAAAACAGGCTCTCCACGTCTCCCATCTCCACCACAACAGTCTTGAGCTGAGAGTAATATTCAATGGTCACAGTACCGTTCTCCCTTCCAAAACCTAAAAGAAAAGAGATGCATTACATTAGATACAAATATGCTGCAATACATTAGCTCTCTCTAGCATTAGCCAGCAGATTTGGCAGAATTTATACGGTTTTACCATTATTAGCAGATCACAGCATCAGTAATGGTCAAAGTGTTGACATCAATATAATACGGACAATATGTTTGGAGTACCTGACATCTTGTAGCCTCCAAAAGGAACTTCCACAGGCCCGACATTGTAGTTGTTGATGTAGCAGGTTCCTGCTTGAAGGTTCGCAGCAACTCTGTGGGCACGTGCAATATCCCTAATAAAAATAAAAACACATTTTTAGTGCCTCATTATGCAATTTGAAAAGATACAGTGAAGATTGTCAGCCTACAAGTGCCCAAACTTTTTGTTATAAAGGGACAAAAGCAAATTTGATTAAGGGCTGTGGGTAAATACACCAAACTGCACTGTACAAAATGCAGGGTTCCACACAATTCATTCAGGTTGTCCCAACACAAATCATTTAAGGGAACACATTTAAGTGGATCAACATAAAACAATGAAGTTATCCCAGAAAAAAAAAAAAAAACCAAGAATCGTGTTGTTTAAGCTCATTTTACTCAAGTAGGTTAAACAAGCAGCAAAATATATACATATATTGAGTGTTTATTACAATAAAGTTACCATGGGTAAAAACCAAAACTGAAAGCAAGACTTGACTTTAAGGGACTATTTCAAATGGATTAATTAATCAATCTTACTGTTCAATTAACGCAACTGCCCTAGATTATTAAAGACGCAAACCCCTCACTGCACGACAGCTGCGCACCTTCAGCAGACCTCCTCATTCCTGCAGCACGAGGGCTTTATGATTGTTTATTAGCGTCAAAAGTGGTGGATCAGTTCGGCGAAATACCTGACTGCGTGTCACTGCATCCCTAAGGACTGTTTGGCGAAATATTTTACTGAATATCACTGCATATCAAACGACTGAAACGATATAACTAGAGAACTCTCCACTGTGCTGAGCGAGAGCGCTTACTGAACAGCGCAGTATCGATGACGTAACTGCGCCCAGGCCCGATTATAGTGCGAGTGCGGGCTGTCGGGGGAGACGGGAGGGGGAAAAGCGTGCTTTGGCCCGGTTCGAGGCAACTAATCATAGTGTGAGTACGGCATAATACACAATGGTCAGACAATGAGTACTTTATTACATTATAATCAATGCCTACTTCTACATGGCTGCCTGTTTAGCTCTGCAGATAAAAACAGGTCTATGGAGGAGACTTCAAAAGACAAGATGATGTACAGTGACATGTTTCATTCCCTTCTTACTTCT